TTGGAAAGGAATGATTCAGCTGTGATAAGGGTCCTGAATCCCGACTGTCATTATGTTGTGTTCTTGGGAGAAGCACTTTACTATTTCCGCTGAGCCTTTAACCCTTTACACACCAACATAATTGTGCTTATTCTCCATGAAACATTCATCAGCTATGAAACTGTAAGGAGATATTGAATGAAAGTCACTAGTAAGGGTTAAAAACTTAATTCGTACCTGTAATTTGCCAAGAACAACTTAACAAAACACTAAAATTAAGTCAAGAAGAGTAACAGCGCCTTTTGAAACTTCATATTACAGTACCAAGAAAAACTAGGCAGCTATGCGAGATCAGTCTAAAAACCCTTTCAATCCCAAGATCTCATTGGTACTGTCTGCCATACAATTCTTATGATGTTAGTTCTGAGAATTTGGTATTGGGTCAACTAATAATCCCCTAACTTATATTACTCTTTATTCTCAACACTTGTCTATTTGATATTGTATTGATTTGGTAAGGAGAAATTTTGTCTTGGTCACTCATGGGAGTTAAAGGGTTAAGCAGACTTTTTTTTATATATTTTCGTAGGATTGGCCTCAGGATGAAGAAACTCAGAAAGAAGGCGATGAATCTGAATTTACCAAATTAAAATATACTCCGGCGATACTTCAGCAGGTACAAGCGTTTGAACAAGGAACTATCAACACAAGCGACGAAGAAGAAAATGATAAAAACAAACTAATGAGAAGCGAGCCCAAAAAGCTGAGACATATTTCACTCAGCGCTACTGCATCACAACAAATGAACATTTCCGAAGAGCGACGACGGAGAGAGCATGAGATTCGACCTTTAGGTGGAGTGATCAAGGTAGGTCTTCCTGCTTCCTAATCAGAAGTGGATATGAAAGGGGTTACGGTGCTGATACAATCACATTGGCCACGCTTAAAAATCCTATACCTTTATGACTCATAAAGGTATAGAAGTTCTTAGGTTGCGATTAAATCGCAGCCTATCACTTCGCGGTGATGGGCATCGTAGACCAACAGCTTTTCATCAAGTCGGGTAGAACAAAACCACCTTCTCATGGAGTCATATGCATGTATACATGAGTGCGTAATCAACTTCAGTCACACTATAATATGATATAACTTTTATTTTTTAATGTATAGCGTACTGAGGCATTGAAGGAAATTTTCTGGTTTGAAGTGTGCCATACATATGGTAAGATGTAAGTTCGGAAAATTACAATGAGGGGCAAAAGTCTTGGTGCTCTCTGCTACATTTTGAATTTTTTGTATAACCGTCGGTTATTTATCAACCTCTCTGCCTTATTTCAATGTTACCTGATGTAAACAGAATGGTTACTAATTTCCTACAACATTGCGAGGACTTTCAATGACGTATCGGAGATAAATTACAAGATTTCTGTTCATCATGTTGAGTGGAGGGTTGTTGGCCACCAAGTGAGGGAGGGGAGGGATGCCAACTTTTTTTGCCACTGAGTGTAGATCTGCAACGCATGATTACCTAGAATAAATATGTCTACTAATAACTGAAGTGTTGAAACGGCTTTAACGCTCCATCAATTAATCCGCATTTTTCCTGCAGAAACTGTACAGATACCAGGAAGTGGATTGAGTGGTGGAATTAATTTGAGCTTTTATGACATGTTAATAATGACAGCGTTTACCTTTTTTTCGCAGAGGTTTGCACTTCGCCCATCAGATACCGATAACAGTGCTACAGAATAATCTAACTGGTCTCGCTCCACGACTCGATAAGTGATAAACTCGTACTAAGTTTGACCAAAAGGAGCAGTGTAGGAATTGAAAAATAACGCATAAAATGGCGGTATGAAAACAAGTGTGACAAAAATAAACGAGGCGTACTCAGCTTTCTAACAGGATGGCACTTATAATTCTCCTATCCAGAGGCATGCTTTTTGAAAATTAAGCATATTTTTTTGGATTCTCTTATCAAATACTCTTTTTTTATTGAACACAGCATAAATGATATTTCAATTCCGGCCACAATTGAATTTATCGCTGCAATTTAAAAGAATCCAGTTATGAAAGTGAGCCCATTTTCTATTTCTGGATAGCAGGCAAAGATTTGCTTCCCTAGAAAGCCCCTAACTTGCAAATTTGCTTTAATTTTGGTTGATGACCTGGCCGCACGAGTAAGGTGACTTTATGAGACATGCGCGAACCCACGGCCAGGTTACTAAAATGTTTTCAAAATGGCAGCGTTTTAGGAAAAATTTCAAGCATATTATTTGCACACAGTTTTTGAGGGTTATATGACTATTTGAAGTCTAAATTCGCGGTAAGTGGAAATTTTGTAAACATACTTTTTAATGGGACAGAAAAATAGTGTGGGTTTCATAAGTGTGCATCACAATTAAACCTAATATAAAACATTCAACATCACATCAAGACTTCGATAAATACAAACTTTAATGATACGACCTACTCACATGACTATATTAATTTGATGAATATTTCCTCCGCTTACTATGATGATAGAGTTTTCTGTTTGTAAGATACTCATACAAAAGAGAAAAAAAAGCAAGCAAACACTAACTGTGTACAAACAACCATGTTCCTGGTTTTACACTGACGTAATTATTTTCCTTGATAAAATATATTAAAGTTCACACGGCAACCAGGTGGACAATCAGACATAGTTTGATGCTACACTGGTTTGCAGATTTAATGAATGTAACCGAAGAAGTTACAATTCATAGACCCAACGTTTCGACATTCCTGTCTAGTGCCTTCATCAGGGGTGATCTAAACGCTGCAACAAGAGGTCCTTTTATATGATCACTAATTAGCGGCCTTTTTTTTTTTTTTTTTTTTTTTCTGACGAGGTGTAAATAGTCGTCAGGAAGCAAGCCGCCTTCGTCACGATTTAAAGGAGCGTGGGCGGAGTTAATGTGCCAAGCCTCCAAACAAAGGCGCTGGTGGTAACGCCGATTAGTGGTGATAATTTTAGAATTATCCCACCCAATTGTATGGTTGGTTAAGCAAGTATGCTCCGATAAAGCTGAATTTTCCTTTTTGCAAAGAAAAACCGCTTTTTGGTGCTCTTTTAACCGTGTACCAAACTGGCGTTTGGTCAGTCCGATGTATTCGTTGTCACAGTCATTGCAAGGAATAGAATAAATACCATACAATTGGGTGGGATAATTCTAAAATTATCACCACTAATCGGCGTTACCACCAGCGCCTTTGTTTGGAGGCTTGGCACATTAACTCCGCCCACGCTCCTTTAAATCGTGACGATGGCGGTCTGCTTCCTGATGCCTATTTACACCTCGTCAGAAAAAAGGCCGCTAATTAGTGATCATATAAAGGACCTCTTATTGCAGCGTTTAGATCACCCCTGATGAAGGCACTAGACAGGAGTGTCGAAACGTTGGGTCTATGAATTGTAACTTCTTCGGTTACATTCATTAAATCTGCAAACCAGTGTAGCATCAAACTATGTCTTATTTTCCTTGATGTTATAATAGTAGTAATAATAATGATAATAACTCTCTCAATGGGGGTTTCAAGGCCATTACAAACTAATTTAAAACAAACATAGTGTGTCAATAAACATAGAGTTTAAAAATCCCAACTGACTTGTGACAGACCAGTTGACTATATACAATTGCAGCCACAGGGGGAGGGAGGGGGGAACTGAGAACAAATCCAGTGAGAAGCAGGGTGCAGGGCTTTAACCGGGACGACCAGATTACAAATCCCCCGCCCCAACCTCTCGGCCACATTGCCTCCACATATACACTGGTAATGAGAACCAGCAGACAGCATACCGGCCGAGTTAAGAGCGGGAGCCATTTTCTAAATCGATTTACCATGAAACAGAGACGCCAAATACAAATAAGCATAAAACCCCTGTTGGCTGGCATCCTTTTTACAAGCAATGTATTTCTTAATTAAAAAGAGTTTTTATAGCTGGTAAATAGGCCTAATATCTAAGAAACCTCTTTAGCCTTTCATAAAATCAATTATCATGTCTACAAAACTCATCGACCTTCATCCAAATTAACGAATATTTACATTTTATTATGGCCTTTGCCGAGGTTTTGTTGGTTTTAAACTCTTGAAGAACATACTGACAGATTCCTAGCATCGAACTGGCAACAGTGTAATGCACAGGACTGTAAGAATTGGGATCATAGGCTATTTCCGACATACCCAAACCCTCCGTATGAAATGGTAGGTAAGTGCGAGGTCTTTGATGTGGACATGGTTTCCTATTCAATCCCAAAAGGAAAGATGTTGTTATAAGAAATATTTTGTTCTTAGCCTCATTTGAACGTTGAAAATCCGAAATGGTCTATTCATCATCAAAGAACAGCGGAGATCCCGCACGCAGGGTATGCCTGTTTATTTCCTGAAGTTAATCTTAATTTAAGGTTTCAAATCCGTAGATGATTCATATTCCCAGATGAACATGCAACAGTAAATTGTTGTTTACAGAAATTGCGGTCGTTTCGCCTTACGACTCACTCAGGTCACTTCGCTAACATTTTAGGTTATGTCATAACATCTGTTTTTAGTTTTGTTTTCTTCGAAGTAGTGACAAATGAAATGTTGTACCGTGAACATACGGTCGATGAGAAGTTGCTCAAGTTCTGCCGATGGAATCGATCCGACAATAAACGTTTTACAATACTTTATTAGCAAGGCGCTGCCCTGAGGCGTTGGCGTAACGACTCGTAGGCGAAATGACTGATCATCGTTTACAGAGCAATTTATAATGTAAGCAATTTCCGTAAGTAGAGCCGTCTCTATGTGTATATTGTTAAAACTGAGCCATAATAATCTGATGGACCTTTTTACACTATGCTGGAGCAGAAATGCCATGAAATGCTTAGAAAGCGTACCGTCTACTTTCGTACTCTAACTGAAGCCTCCGATCGAGAAAGACACCCAAATAGGGGAGTACCCACTCACTCCCGCCCCCCCCACCCCCACCCCCTCCCTCGACCGTTCTCTAGGAGTTTAAGTTACGATTCAGAAGATACTGGATTATCATATGAATTTAACACAACAATGCAATCCTCCCTGCTAACAGGTGTGGTCTTGGTCTCTTCCTTCTGGATTTTCTCGGGGAGATTCTTAATCCTGCTTCGTCTTTTTCGGTACAACTCAAATTTGACCTCGGGTGCGTGTTCTCCGATGTATTTCCAACTCTGACGGATAACCTGTCAAAATTTTATTCACCTGCGGTGAAAAAACTATAATATTCTAATTTCCAAATAAGCCGGAAGATATTCTTGACTGTTTCAAGTTTCAGTGAGGAAGTTGTGCCTCTCTTAAGGTCTCACATAAACTCTCCGAAATGTTATAAGTTCAAAATGACAGCGTTTACTCTAATGTCGTTCAGTTTGCTATTCTTACTTGGGCTGCACTTAAAGTCCGCAAACAAACTGCATATAGAGATTGGTCAACAAGCTCAGCTTCACGAATGTTGTATGCAATTTTGAGAGCAACTTCGACACGGGAAACCAACAGAAAAAGAAAGAAGGACAAAGATGGCTGGGAATGGAAAGGATTCATATAGATTGACTAGAAAGGACTCTCCGATTGAGGAAAAAACAAATTTAGCGAGCGATTACGAGCTGGGAATTTATGAATGAACTTACCACAATAAGGAAGAGTATCATCACTGCACAAATGGTTATCGCTGCCACCACAATCAAGCTTATTGTCAATTTGCTCCTCTGGTTCTCTTTATCCATCTCACTACTCTCAGTAGCAGTATTTCGTTTTTCGTGTATTCGCTTGGCATCAGGGAACGTCTTTTCATACGTGTCACTTTTTGTAAACGTTGTAAGTGTGTCTTGCAATTCTTTTCCTGTCGCGTTGGTGGCTGATGAAACCAAAAGATAGTACTCCACCTTCGCTAAGGTCCATCCGTCATTTGCTTTAGCGAGCGAAACGACCTCAAAATCCACGACGTCGTCTTTGTCTTGGTAGAATTCGTTAAGAGCATCTTCTATTGCTGTTTTTATTCTTCTGTACTCAGAATTGTTGTAATCAGCAAAGGGATCCTTCCATTCTACACCAGGCAACAGGAGGCTCATGTTCTGTAGAAGGTTCAAGATCGACGCTTTTTCCATGCAAATGTCGAGGGCGTTGTCAAGTTCATTTTCGACTCTTTCTTTTCCAAGATCGGACTTAAATTCAAATTTGCAAAACGTTCCAGGGTTTCTGTGAATCTTCAAGAATTTTTTTATTTTAATATCAGTAACGCCCGTTACGTTTTCAAGATCCTTTTTCAGCAGACTTCTCACAGCCAAAGCCATTATTTTATACTGCATGGTTTTCTTGTCCAAAGTAGTTTCGTTCCAAGTTCTGTGTGTTCCATTGCATTTCACCTCAATTGTAATGCTTTGTCTTTCTGCAGGTTAGTTAAAACGATCGAAAAAGCTAGATCTTAGTAAAATTATTATCTTGTGACTTGTAAATATACAATGAACCCACTATTTATTACACAAAACTAGCGCGTTTTATATAATTAAAGATTACATCAACAGATAGCACAAAGGCATTAGATGAGATATAAACGCAGGACCAAAAAATAAAAAATGATCTTCATTTGGTCAGGGTATATATATTTTTTCTTATGCCGTTCATTTTTGCCACAAATTTATGGACACGAGGGATTCCACATACAGACATGCATTTAAAAAAACCCGTTTGGTTCATGGAATTCAAAATTTACATAACATAGTGTTTCAATATGTAACAGTCATGATGGAGTAAGAAAAGATTCAAAGAGTAGAATATTAATTTCCTAAAGTCAATCGAAAGCCTGTTTTCGACTGATGGTGAAACAAGTGATTCAATAACAAAGCCCTATTAATTATTAAAGCCCTTTTTCATTTCACTGACACATTACCATATGCCTAATTAAACACCTATTTGTGACTAGAAAGAAAATAAAAACAACTCACGCGATCGAATGAGTGAAATAGTTTAATCTACTGGCGTCAGCCATAAAAACATGTCCTTAGACAGTTTTTAAGTTTTTATTAAATTCGACAAGAGTAACTCGAGGATATCTTCTTAAGTTACGATGTTAAGGTTGATTGGTAGAAGTTTCGAAATACTCCTCGTTGTATGAAACTAACGGCTAGCGACGAAAAATTTTTTTACTTTTCTAACTCGTAGAATTTATCTTTTTTCAAGCTTAGTGAAGCATCACCCCGGCAACAACTATGTCATTTAAAGATCAAAATGGAACTGGTCCAAGAAACCGTGTTACCGCTAGATACGGCTTTTATTTTCGTTCCGTTTCTATTATGAACTAATTCAGAGTTAAAGAGAGCAAAGATGGCCTTCCAATCCCGCAGTCATGGCTGCAAGATAGACAAGGAAGGTTCCTATGTTTAATAAAATCCTCGTTAAGCCAAAGTTAGATCAAGATAATAATAATAATAATCGAGAGGTTGTTTTTGAAGTTTAACCAATGAATCCAATTCAAAATATATTAAAGTTCACACGGCAACCAGGTGGACAATCAGACATAGTTTGAAGCTACACTGGTTTGCAGATTTAATGAATGTAACCGAAGAAGTTACAATTCATAGACCCAACGTTTCGACACTCCTGTCTAGTGCCTTCATCAGGGGTGATCTAAACGCTGCAACAAGAGGTCCTTTTATATGATCACTAATTAGCGGCCTTTTTTCTGACGAGGTGTAAATAGGCGTCAGGAAGCAGACCGCCATCGTCACGATTTAAAGGAGCGTGGGCGGAGTTAATGTGCCATGCCTCCAAACAAAGTCGCTGGTGGTAACGCCGATTAGTGGTGATAATTTTAGAATTATCCCACCCAATTGTATGGTTGGTTAGGCAAGTATTTGCAATTCGAAAGAACTGCAGACGTTTACCAAACAGAGAGAGAAACATGACAGAAAACTCCGTCACTTGCTCAGTAAGAGGTCTCCTGTTAATTCAGGCTCATCTCTGAAAGATAAATGGGTCATGAACCTTTCCTTCAAGGAATTATCCGCGCTGGAACGGAGTGGTTTATAGAAGGGTCTAAAGTTTGCTATTGCTCCTCGCAAAATACCGACCGCCGAAATTGTCGCCGCTGTTGAGGAGAGTATCTCGACGACGATCGTAGGCATTTGGTAAGAGCAGAAGTAAGTAGCATACTCAGGCGTGCTAAACCTCCTCCCAAAAACATTCAAAAGGATGTTTTCAATGCGCTTATAACTCTCAAAAGGATCCGGACAGGCTCGTATTATCTGCTGACAAGGGTAATTGTAGATTTAGATATATGAAAATTCACATATTTGCACTGCGGTGGAAAGATGAAATTAGAAGATCCTCGCAGGGTAATTGTGTTGTGGTTATGGACAAACAGCAATATCACGACAAAGCTTTGTCTCTGCTCAATGACAAGAGTACGTATGCTGTCTTAAACTCTGATCCTACCAGTAAAACTCAAAGAAAGTTAAACAAAATGTTGCTTGATTTGAAAAAAGCTGGCAGAACTAGTGACTCTACGCACAAAATGTTATACAGTAGTGACGGCTTATGTCCACGTTTTTATGGCTTACCTAAAATTCATAAACCGGGAATTCCTTTGAGACCTATTGTCTCTTTTGTTAATTCTCCGACTTATGCAATTTCTGGTTATCTTGCGAGAATTTTGTCGCCTGTTGTTGGGAATACTGATTACACTGTCAAAAATTCCTGCGAATTTACGGATTTCATAAGAGATAAAACTCTTGACGCTTGTGAAGAATTAGTATCTTTCGACGTTGTTTCGCTCTTCACCAAAATCCCAGTTGATCTTGCCGTCAAGGTTACGGAGGAAAGACTCAGAGAAGATGCTTCCCTAGGACAAAGAACTTCTTTGCCTGTGGAGGATATTATTCATCTGCTGTCTTTTTGCCTCAAAACCACGCAATTTACATATAACGGCACATACTATCAACAAGTTTTTGGTACAGCTATGGGTTCGCCTGTTTCTGCTGTCATTGCTAACATGGTAATGGAAGACGTGGAACAAAGGGCCTTAGCCACTTCACCGGTTAAACCCTTTTTCTGGAAACGATATGTCGATGATGTTATTTCTGCGGTATCCGGAAATGAAGCGGAGCGCCTCTTGTCGCATTTGAATTCAGTAGAGCCGTCGATCCAATTCACCCTTGAACGTGAAAAGGATAGACATTTGCCCTTTCTTGATTTAAATGTGTCCAGAGGGGTTCAGGGTAATTTAGAGACAAGTGTCTACCGTAAACCCACCCACACCGACAAATACCTCGCTTTCGATTCTCACCATCCTATTTGCCATAAGAAGTCTGTAGCCAAAACTTTACTTAGGAGGGCTGATTGTCTACCATCATCACTCGATTCGAAGGCTGAGGAGAGGAAATATGTTTCCAATGTCCTAAAGGCAAATGGCTATACAAAAACTTTTCTCCGTAACTGCCAAAAACCAGTTACAAATAGTAACGCTCTTGATGAAAGGGAACCAGCGACTGGTTTTGCTGTTATTCCTTACATAAAGGGTGTTACTGAACCCATCAAGAGAATTTTGAATAGCCACAACGTTAAAGTTGCTCAAAAACCTTTTCAGACTTTGGGGCATATTTTCGCCAAACCTAAGGATCCTGTCACGAAAGGACAACGAACTGACGCCATTTATTCTATTCCTTGCAATGACTGCGACAACGAATACATCGGACAGACCAAACGCCAGTTTGGTACACGGTTAAAAGAGCACCAAAAAGCGGTTTTTCTTTGCAAAAAGGAAAATTCAGCTTTATCGGAGCATACTCGCCTAACCAACCATACAATTGGGTGGGATAATTCTAAAATTATCACCACTAATCGGCGTTACCACCAGCGACTTTGTTTGGAGGCATGGCACATTAACTCCGCCCACGCTCCTTTAAATCGTGACGATGGCGGTCTGCTTCCTGACGCCTATTTACACCTCGTCAGAAAAAAGGCCGCTAATTAGTGATCATATAAAAGGACCTCTTGTTGCAGCGTTTAGATCACCCCTGATGAAGGCACTAGACAGGAGTGTCGAAACGTTGGGTCTATGAATTGTAACTTCTTCGGTTACATTCATTAAATCTGCAAACCAGTGTAGCTTCAAACTATGTCTGAATCCAATTCATTTGAATATCCCAATTATTACCCACCTAGTCAACCCTATTTTAATAACTGTTTGAAGACGTTGATGTCACTTTCAAGGATGGTTTTTTGTGTAATAGTTTGAATTAGTTTAGATCCATGTAATCATCAAGTTTTAAATCCCTTAGACATGTTACCAAGCGAAAGTTATTCGCCCAAGAGCTCATTTAACGGAGAGTTTAACGCGATGAATATACCTTACATAAAATAATAACAAAAATGCCTCTTCATCGAAACAGCCTGAAATTTACCGAGTTAATTCCAAGTTTTATCGAGGAACAGATATTTGAATTCAGCTACAAAATCGACCGTTGGTTTTCTTGGCAATAGCGGTTTTATAGTTAAATGGGAAAGCGAAAGTCTATCGAACGACGAATAGAACGTCAGAGTTATTGGAACGCCAGTACACCTTACCTGACATCCAAACTGTAGCTGCAAGCATGGTCATTATTACTGTGACATAGCTTACAATTTTCAGCGATGCTTCCTTGGAAGCCATCACGAGGTTTTTCCGATAAAGCAGTTAAGGCGACAACTTGACCTGGGGATACAAATTTTGTGGACCCTACTTCAACTTGTTGAAGCTGCATCTGGTTACGTTTTGACAGTCTGAAGATGTTTTCCCCTCGGGTTGCATAAAGTAGTTATTAACGATGCTAATGGATTTATGTGAAGGTTTTGTTTCGAGACGTTTTCTATTGTCGGGCCACGCAGATGTTTCATACCTTTATTTTTTTATTTAGTGTTTTCATCCTCCTTTCCTATCCAACATCTCACTCAGTTGGTTGAAAAAATGGTTGAGAAAGATATGGGTACCGGATGAACTCATTCGTAATCTCGCGTTACTCAAAGAAGATACTGTAATTAATTCTCTTAGAACTGTCTCGAAGAGTTTGTGAAGCATTGCAAAATTGTCTGTTTTTCAGCTGGAACTGGCTGATAATGTTTTCTCTGTGCTAATTATGAATGGCGCCCCTGTAATTAGTTTTAACAAAGGCTTTCGTTTATTTATAATACATGTATCTTTAACTTTTTTCCCCTCAAACAAAAACATGACTGTTTATATTCATACTTTGCCTAAAAGCATCATCCCTTAGTTGGCAACTTTTTCGCCCAACTATCAAACTTCTTCTCCAAGTTTTTACGGGCTGTTGCTTCATTATGTTTAATTTAACAGTCTTTCGTCCGTTTATAATACTTAGGCCTAGTTTATACGTCGCGCTACAGTCGAATTTAATTCAGACGAATTTAATTCCATTAAATTCGTCGTTCCGTCGACATAAATCGTGGCGTGGTTTTATGCGTCGAAATCAATACGGTCGAATTTAATTCTCTTCCCAAATGCAGTGTCTCTGGTCAGAGGTGTCATTTTGAAACAAACATGGCGCGGGCTAAAGCTCTGAAAACAATTTTCCTCGAGAAAATTTCCAGGGAAAGACAACGGCGACGTCATCCGTTTCCCATTCAGAGTGTGGTTAATGAAACCATATGGTAATGCTAACCTTACACCTGAAGAGGGCTATTTTAACTATCGTCTAAGCCGCGCAAGAATGGTAACTGAGCGAGCCTATGGACAACTGAAGAGCAGGTGGAGAGTTTTGTATCGAAAGTTAGAATGTAGACCAGATTCGGTGAAACTGGCCGCGCTCGCGTGTATTGTACTTCACAACATCTGCATTACCACAAAGGACAGCCTTCCTGCCCAACTGGATTTGTCAATTGATCCTTTCACACAAAAGAAAAGGTCCAGAGAAGAAATACGAGATCTGTTGCAGATGCGCAACTGCCCTAAGAGAAAGGATTCATCTCGCAAAGCTGGATGGAGCAATACGGGAGGCTCTGACAAGGAAAATGTGGCAGGAAAAAGAAGCAAACGAACTGGAAATGTAGACGTAATTAAAACAATTTTTTTGTCATCCATGTTATTTTCAAAGTTCTCCATAGATTGTAACAAATAAATCACTTTACTACATGAGCCTGAAAAAAACCCATTTGAAGGCGCATAGCAAACTAAAGGTGGTGCAAAAATATACAAAACGGAAAGTGTTGTAAAGCGGAAATTCCATGGCATTTGGCAAATCATAGTCAAACAGTTCCACTCGACTATAAAGTTCCCATCCTGATAGAGCACATAGAGCCCCGACTTATGAGAAAAGAGCGTCAAAGGCAATGTGTTAAAACTATAATTTACCATGTAGCAAGTGTTATGAACCTTTAACAACGTGACTCCGCGGACTATTCCGCACATTTTAGACTAATCGAAAACACTACGTCTCGGGTTTGATTTCTTTCACGAATTCTCCCAAGCCCCATAAGTGTTAAGATGGGGTTCTGTAACCACGCAAAAAAACTGCTAGCGTTTCAGCGCTCTCCTCCCAACGAAAAGATTCTTCAAACATTCTGGCTTGCAGTCTGTAAACCCAAAACCTGAACGCTTGGAATAGGTTTTGAGGTCGGTTACCCTTTAACAGATCCTAACTTAGGGTTTGTTAGATCACTTTTTTTGTTTATGGTAACTTCTTTAATAAGAGCGTGGAACAAAGAAAAAAATTCTGAGTCCCTATGAGGAATCGAACCTCAGACCTTTGGATTCCGCTCACTGTCTTTCTTATTCTATTTATTTAGAAAATGTAGTCGACATATAAAATCCATTACCTCGGCATCGTCTGCCAATGTTTAAAAAGTGAGAAGCCATAAGGACGAGAATGCTGTTTGCCATACAAGTCCAATACACCCAGACCGTTGCGATTCGTCTACGGTCGTTGACGAATCGTTACACCGGATGTCGAATCGTGCGTTAACATACCGAAAGTCGAGGGGCGCGCACGTGGGCAATGAGTGAAAATGAGTGGCATGGTACGAGAACATGACAACATGAACCTTCCACGTTCTTAAAGCGTAAACGACCGCAAGTCTATCGTCAGAATACTAAAAACCATACAGAGTAGCAAATGTTGACGATTCGACACAATTCGACTTGAATCGAACGACTCGTCACAGCAAATGACGATCCGTCGAACCGGATGTCGATTTGCAAATCGACATCCGGTATGGCGGGTCGTCATTTGTTGTGACGAGTCGTTCGATTTGACAATATCTTCAACCCCCTATCGCAGACACTTACGAATTTTTTCTAAGTCTCTTGCAAATTGACTTCCGTTATGCGTATCCGCCGCGAATCGACTTCCGGTTTGACGATTCGTCAACTGCCTTTGACGATTCGCAGCGGTTTGGGTGTATTGGAAAACCCTCGAACGTTTTTATTCACGAGTAATGTCTACTCAACGAGCTAAGTTTTAAAAGTTTGTCTTTCGGTCTTTTTCTATGGTTTGACTTAGTTGGCGCCTAGAAACATCTGACACGTACTCGTGAAATTTTTTGTTTACTTTTGAGATTATTTCTGCCGGCCACTTCAATGAGTTTAACATTATTTTAAACCTGTTATCAGTCATCAATGGAATTGGGAGCAGCTGTACCGATGCCGCTTGTGACTCCGTCGCTTGTGCTCTGTGAAGGCTAAATCGCTGGAGTCGTCGGCGATTGGATGTCCCGAGAACTCACATTGTGATTGGTTGGTTCTTCTGCTTCTGCTTGCAACACCGATGATCTAATTTTGATCTGCTCTCACTTATGTTACGTATGGATGACGTCACCATTAACAACCTTCCTTGTTATCATATAAAACAAATAGATTCAGTGTTACCGTGGGTCTCTACCAGATCGCATAAGCCGTCAAAATGCAACTTTCTTGTTCTTAACACATTTTGACGTCATCTGTCATTTATTGCTGATCATGAACAGACGCATGGCAACACTGGATGAAATCTACTTGTTAACTAGATCATGAGCGCCGTAGTCATTGGCGAATTCGGAAGAAAATGAAACCGTTCGGATTCTCCTGGCTCCAGTTTCATCAAACTTTATATGACTCCTACTACAATGAAACTCCTGATCTTAGCTTGTCCGGTAGTGACCTCACAACTCCGACTACGATTCGAGCCCTTCTCCGTCGCTAATGAAAACTTGTACAGGTCGAGATAACGCGCAAACTTAATTTGCATGCCATTTTGGTACACAACGAGCCAGTTAATTGATTTCCAATAGACGTCACCGCCATTTATTTATTTGTTTATATTCGTGAGAACCATCCGGACAGTCATTTCCAGGATTAAATGAAAGCTCTTTTGCTCGATCTCACACGCAAAAAAATGCTTTTTTCAAACAGAACAAAGCGTAGGAAGTAACTTCGAAATGAGTGATTGTTATCTGTAAGAAAACCTTAAAATTCAGCTGGCTACACACTGGAAGCGAGGATACAGTTTTTTATTAATTAAGAAAGCCGCCCTCTAAGATCTAAATAACAAAACCACTCCAATAACTCATAAATGAGATGTATTGTTCAATTTTGTTCAGTTGGTAAACTAGCGCAGAGCGCGTCTCTTGATTGCATCAAGAAATATGTACGTGGCTTTGAATTTTTTGGTAGACACTTCGCACTTGTAAATTTGACAGGATGTCGCAACACTTAGTTAAACTTTTCTTTGTATTCAGTCAATTGAATTTCTGTTACCTCCTCTTAGCTTTTATGACAGTTTCTCCGCTGTGACAAAACATACTCTGAAGAAGCTGGTGCGGTTTGCGCTTTAAGCCTTCATTTCCAAACTTTGTTATTTTAAATCCAACTTTTTCTGTCGCATCTTTATCAATCGTTGCGTCTGTTAACCTCATTCGTAGTTCTTTGCTGTATTTTTTACCCTTGCAGGCTCTCATGTATTAACATTTCCTCCTATTTGACAGTAGTTGAAACACAGCTCGTACGAACACGACTAAAAAAAAAACGGGAACTCATAACACCATCAACATCGTTCAATTAAGACAATTTAATTTACTCCTACCAGCTCCACTCAGCTTTTGATTTTATCGTGGATTATTTAAACAATTCTCAGTAAATATTGAAATAGCTTATCTTTCTGCCTAACGCTTCCATTGAAATTAAGTCACAAATAATATATATGAAAAAAAAATTTTTTTTTCTTTGCTGTTGACAAAAAGTGACGATTTAACCTTTACGGCTAAAATGCAATTTAAGCAATAATAGGGGGGAAAGCTAGACAAAAAATACATCAAATCGATGATAAGTAAAAAACCGTGGGCTGAAATGACTTAACACTTAAAAAATTTTTGGAATTATTTACAACAAACAACGGCTGTCAGATAACTATTTTGACAGTCCCTGTAGTGCAAAGAGGCCTTGGGAACCCACATATCATCTCGGCAAGATGCAGATATTTCATTACATGTGCGCCATTCACGCAATCTAAAACCGCAGTTTTGAAGAAAATCTTTGTGGAAGGCTTTCATTTTTATAAAGCCGAGAGCGAACGCCGCCCCTTTTTTGTTATAATGGTGATGGTAAAGATGAAGGCATATCGCGTTTCCCATTTGATGGCAATCAGCATCACTCTTTTCATGTTCACAGGTGAGTTAGGATTGTTCCTTTTTTTAACAGCAGGAAAAAGCAACTGCAAAAGTGTTTCAAAGTGTTTTTTAAATGGTGACTTTTAAATCAAATTGATGCTAATACCGTTGTGCATCTAGACAAAATCATTAATTTGAAAATGCACAGCACCGTGCAATTTCAGGGAAAGGGAAAGAGATGATTTTTCAATGGTCAGTTTCTAACTGCTAACGAGACGACGAAAATGTCCAACGTTTCTCACGAACGTATGACGTATAGGAAAATGAAAGAAACAATAGGAAAAATCTAGAGAGCTTCTGGAAGATTTCCAACCGAGGACTTTTCGATTTCGCTGTGGGTTGAATACGTAACCAACTGAGTCTCGCTACTGGAGACTCGTTGGTAACGGAAACCATGTATTAGCTTTACATATGCCTTTCTTTTTTTGTGCTATTGTTAGAAAATTAGTCGCATAATCAATTTTCCACCGGGTTGAGCAATCGCTATTCGGATCTTCCCAAAGTTGTTTTTGCCAACTGCATCATTTCCGCTGATAGTTGACATTTCTCAGGACATAAGTGAGGTATGCAAATCGCGCCTATTCTTTAAATCAATATTTGTTCGATAAACCTTTCTTCGTTTTGGTTGTTGAGAAGGGCGTTCCAGCCACTTTGTTTATTGTTCGGTGTCTCCAGGTTACCAATTGTCTTTCCCCGAGAAGCAATAAAGCACCTAGCGGGGTGTTTTAATGAGTGAATTGTCTCGAATTTTTTAGTAAAAAGTGTGAATGTTCGACCAAAGCGATGTCAAGCAAGGATCAACAAAATCAAAGCAAATAAAGCAAACCACGTCGGGTTGCTATATTTAGCTTTTTTTCATCTTAAGATTTAACAGAGCTTTTTCTCTTTTCGTTTTTTTTCCTTTTCATATAAAAAAGTAATATGACCTCTGTGTATTTGAAATCTCATTGACAGACATAATTGTTAACAACCTCGCAACAAACATAACTATCAGATCCATCCCAAGCTAGTTAATGAAATATTATTTTCATACCCTTCTGCCTGTCTGTAGCGAAATCTTATAATCACTATATAAACAGCACAAACGCCGCATGAATTGAAGTGTCAGTGCTGTTATTTTTCAATAAGGTTTGTTACCCTGGAAATCAGACAGAGCCCTCACAAAAGGCATTTTTGGTATATTAAGAACAACAAATATTAAAAAAAAAAGTCAAAGGAAAGTATTTCCTCAGCAAAATGTTTCCGCAGAGGAAATACCTTGGAAAAACTTCCTTTGTTGAAAAAATATTCGTTAAATGTGTGCAATTTTTGTACCTCGGCTATCTAAAAAGTTTCTAACGTAGCTATTTGTGCAGTTCTCGGGTCAAATACGATACTTGAAAAAATAAACAAATCTATTAACTTTTCTTTCTAGAACGGAGTTTTATCTCGGGTTTAAGGAATTTTTGGAATAAGAGAAATAGCCAAACAGATTATTATGCATTTGGGGCAGATATCAGACAAGCATAATTTTCGTTAAATAATACCCTATAAATAAATAAAAATAATCGTAATACTCTTCATCGTTGATAATAACGGCTGATTCTACATCTAACCTTAATCACGCCTTAAAAGAACGACGAAAGAGGAAACAAAAATTGCCAAAATTAGGAAAATTTTAATTCCAAAAGTAATCAAATAACGAATACACATAAGTATCAATTTTTTTAAGTGATGAGTGCTTACCTCGCAGTGAGATAGGAATCTCACAGAGGGTAGCAAAATGAAGCCGGAGGAGGTGGTTGTTTTCAACTACTTATCCCGTTTCACGCACATATTTTAGAAAAATTCACGCGTCACGTTTATTTTAAAACACCATTTCAGACATCTCAACTTCAAAAGAACAAACCTCAAGTCTCTCTTCTTTTATGCGAGGTTTCAGGGAAACCTTGAGGCTTTCACGAAATGAAAGAAAATAATTCACGGGTCACGCATATTTCAGAAGACAAATTACGCTTCGTGCTTGATCATAAATTCACGAATCACGCTCGCCTTTCGGTAAAATTCACGCCGCGTCACATTTTATTTCTGGCCTTAAAAACTCCTTCCCACTTTCCTTTCTGATTTGAATAATAATAACAATAATAATAACAATAATAATAATACTAATAGTGATGATGATAATGAAGGATTTTCACATCGCTATATCCATCAGCTCATGGCGCTTTACAACATTTTGTGGGGGACTTTACTCAGACTGCAATTAGCCGTTGACACTTAAGAAGGAAATGTTTTTCAGATGTCCCCATTTCAGACCACCAGACCTGTGCAACGTCAAAATGACGAGCTGAAAAGCTGTTCCGTTTGTATGAAATTAATTTAATCGTCGTGTGACATTTTGATACCCTTGTCAAACCATAAAACACGATGCTTGGGAAAATACTGTGCGTTCTTAATGGTTTGCTAATTACTTCTGTGTCGGAAAAGCATATGAATATGGATTCCTTTATAAGCTATTTATAGTTAGACGGTTCAAAGATTCGTTTGTGTTGTTTTCAACTTTTTCCTTGCCTTAGGCGATTGACGTGTTGCTTATTCAAGGCCGTTAGGTGTATTTCGAAAACTAGAAGCCAAAATTCTAGAAAATGAAATGATAATAGTGGAATAATAAATCTTTTATTCAATAATTCAATATATTAAACGAACAGACATGTTACCTACTGCTTCACTCAAATTTTTTGTCGCCCCAAAGAAGCGTAGAAAAAATATTACGTAACCCGCAAAATAACTGCGGGTACTATTTGTAGACCATGGAATGAGGTAATCCTGAAGACTATCCGATTACCTCAATGGTTTTACCTCAGTGGATTTTACATTAGTTTCGAGGGCATAACGGTGAAAACCATCAACCAAGTTTGTAAAGGATTTGATTTCTACCAATGTCTGATATGTAATCAGATAGGTAAAACTCAAACTAAAACAACGCAACCAACCGCATGACGGTCAGGAATACTATGCTTCTCAATGCAAAAATTCTCAAAAGTGTAACGCACAAAAAAATGTGTCAGACATGCCTTGCTAACGCTAAATGATACTAGCCGCGTATTTGCTGCTACTTACTCCTCCCCTGTGACCTTCTCAATTAGGTACATCTCCACCCCACCCCTGCAAGAGTGTTTTTTCAGTTTTTGGTTTTTCACATTTTACACAACTCTTCATTTACGTGTAAACACGTCAAACGTGACTAAATATTTTCCGGGTTCAAACTCTGACGATTTTTATCAATTTCTCAGAATTGCCTTTACGTCATAACATCCTACGAAGTGTGTATGTGGCAAAATAGCATTCTTTCGCGAGAGATCTGGGTAAAAAAGATTAAATTCCATGCCTATTTTCAGACCAAAAGTGTTTTTTTTTTTAATTTTTAACAGAAATAGCAAGTTTTGATGTTTTTTTTTTAACTGCTTCAAATGTTTTTAACTCGTGCATTACAAGTGCAAGATTTTGAAGTGAGAAAGCCATAGGTAAATTCATTTCATCAAAGGTCTACGATCTTCACAGATCAGGCTCGTCTCTTGACTTGATTTTTCTGTGAGGGAAAGATACTTCTGTAAGAGCAAATATAGTTGGCACAAATGCGATTTCTGTGTAAAAATATGTTGAAAGCATCTTTTGAAAAAAAACTAACATCCTGGTGAAAAAAAATTGGTGAAAGCTGAACTCAAACTCTGGTGAAGCTGCCTTACATGACCTCGTCTTAAGGTGTAATGGCGTGACTGTCATCGCCCGTGACGAGCTTACCAAATAATTCTATATGATAAAATCAATAAGGAGCAACATTCTTGACAATTCTCAAATTTATTTTCCTGGAAACATCCCAACGAGGCCGGATGCAGTGTCATCTATGTCACACAGAACATCGGTTTTTGATTTCACAGACGGCGCCAGAAAGTAGCTGGAACATACCTCTCATCTCATAGCGCTTCTCCTTTCTAAATTTTTGTGATCTAAGTTTTTGATTTACGATCGAAGAGTATTTCTGAAGTTTCGAAGTTTCCTAGTTCATCAACTGGGTATTTTTTCGTGTAAGGCTTTGAGTGTATCGAGAGCAGAGCAGAGCTGGCCACGTGCTAAATGAGCTCATTGATCATCTTAAGGATTATTTATACAGCTACGAGTACAATCAGTAAAACGTCCACCTTCGAAACGAGTGTGTTAAGGCATTGCATCGGCAGAAAAATATCGGAATGGCTTCAAAAATTGCTTATTTTGTCGTATTTTTCATTGGTCTACGCTTCGGTTTTAATGCAGGTAAGATGGCTTCTGTTTCTACTACAACCTCATCCATTCTTATCGCTTTCAATGTTTCTGCATCGCATAATTTGTTTTTTTTTTTTTTGCTTGAACCTTCCGCTGAGTTCGGTCGTTTTAAGTCGAGAAAGTTGTCTGTTGTTTTTTTAAAGGTGGCCTTTTCATCTCCGAAGGTGAGGGACTTTTGTGATAGAAAATGTAGAATCGATAAAGAGGCTTTTCCAGAGCGATATCGCTTTTCCAGTTTTGATTTCCACTGGACAGAATACAAACAACTGAAAAATACCCGGACTACTTTCTTTGAAAAAAAAAACAGTGATCAGATGGCAAACTGGCGTCTCTCTTTTAAGTTCATCCATCCCAATAAGAAGTAGAATTTTCCAGTTGTTTTTTTTCTCGACCGCACGAATAATTTGACAGATGCTGTAAGTTGCAAATTCAGGCAATTGCGACAGACACTTCTAAAATGAGAGCCCATTTCACAACAGAGGAGGACCACTATCGCATTATGCTTTTGTTATTTATTCACAAACACCACAGAGATTAGGCATTTTGAATGTATGTGTACTTTTTCCATAAATCAATCGGAGTCCCCTGTCTTCGTGAAGACCCCTCATTGCTTTTTAGGTAACGGAAAGGTTCTTTATTCCGCGTGAAGCAAATAAAATAGAAAACGCCAGTGCATGCTCGTCATCGAATCAGCAGGTTTTCTTCCATAATCTTAACTCATATGAAGCATATACATATAGGAATCGTCAAACGTGTGGCGGGCAAATGAATTTGTCCGTGGGTGAGTATTTACCTCAAAATTTCTCGTGTTAGTACTTACCATTCATAGCGGCGTTAGTCATTTGTCTGAAAAGTCACTTTCAGTTTGAAATTATATGCCATAAAATAATTTTATGGCATATAAGCCAATTTTTATTCGTACATTAAAAAAAGGCGTTCGATTTGAAGACATGCAGAGAGGGTTGATTTTATCAAAACACTTATAATGATAATCACGAGTTGTATTGTATGACTGCTAATCGCCCAAAAGGTTTTTTCACGAGATTCGCGGTACAATTTATGAAGTCACCCAGTTTTTGCATTCAAGGCGTAAAGCCTTAATGTCCATGAAACCTGTTCCGGATAATAATAAAATGATAAATCTCTCCCTTTTCTTTGATTCCATCTCCTCAAGAGGTTTACAATCTCTTTCAAATTATTTTGGTCGAATATTTCAACCTAACGCGCCACATTTCTTAGATTTGAACCGAAATTTTTATTGAGCTAATGTCCTAATTGTAGCAGTTAATTTTATCTCAGTGGGAGAACGTCCACAAGAGTCAGAGAATTAATCCCTCTTTCGACTTTATCTTCGTTATCCTTTCCTTTTTGTCCCACGCTCGAAACAAATAAAAATTCAATGTCCATGTTATCCATCGCAGTTAAAAATTTCTACCCACTGTTTTTACCGCTATGTACGTCGCGCACTAAATTTCACTCGTTTCGTGTTTTGGAGGAGCGTGTGATACGTGAGAGGAATTTTGGCTCATTTTCCGCCGGCAGTTTTCCGAGAAACTCAGTATTTATAAAATTCTCAGAAGATTAAAAGGCGGATCTGTTGTGTCCTTTTATGGTTAAATGACGCATGTGATGACAGTTGTCTGACGGGATCTCATGTGAATCTCTTAACAAACGGTATTATTTTGTCTCCGCGTTACTGACCTCGTCAGCTGTGAAACTGTAGATATTATTTGCATGAAAACATTTGTTACCGTTCCGAATTTGATAACCTTTAAAGGCCTTTTAGTCGGCTTACACACAAATTGAAATTGCTTTTTAAATAAACTCCTCCCTGAATATTTCTGTTTTCATTCCGGCCGAAATTGACAAATGTGTAAATGTCGTCTGACTTTGGTCTGATTCGCCTTCGCTTTTCGACTTGGTTGTAAACCTCAAGGCTCTTCAAGGGCCCATTGTTTGAGAGAGACGCAGCACTAACCCAGGATTACAATTCAAAACTGGGTATGACTTATCTGAGTCGCATATAGTTTTCGTCAACTGTTAAAGGTACCACAATGTCGTGTTTTCGAATAAAGATTGACGGCTGTACATTAATTAAAGTAAAAGGACTAAGATATAATTACATAAACTTGTAATATGTAAACTCTTCGCTGTAACGCTGATATTTTCAAATCCTTGCTGTTTTTTGAGACTGTACTTATCGGGGAACATATTCTTATAATCTTAAATTTTATTCAGGGGTAAAAATATAGGTTTATTCCAGATCAATCCAGCATCAAAAGATGGTATTTCTAACTTGGAACTGTTGACTTACAATGCTGTTGTCTTTTCACATACAGGGGCTTTAGGAAACAGCACCGGAACGACCTCGCTCCCTTGTACCTCAGCTACTACGTTGCAAAGGGCACAATCAGCAGTTGTTTCAGCTACGACGACGGAGAAATCATCACCATCAGTTTCAGTCACTAGGTATGCTTCCACGTCATATCAAAAAGCAAAACTGTCGAATACATCAACTATGTCACTCAGACAGTCGACAAGTACATGGAGTTTGGAATCAAGTAACACACCCCATAACCCATCATTACCAGTTTCGTCACTGCCGAATATTTCAGCCACAATTCTGGACGAGTCAAAAAGCACGCCAGGATTATATTCATGTACTGTCGTGTATTCTTTAGCATGCGCAGCCTTGTCGAATGTCTCAACTTCTACCATGATACAGGAACAATCAATCAGTACAACAACACTACATTCAGGTAACCTTTCAGCTACCACGAAACAACTCGAACCTTCATTGACAACAGCACCAAACAGCGCGAATTATTCCACATTGTCCACTAGATCTTCCTCTCTATGCAGTTTGGTTTATTACAGTTCATGTTCACCTTTCTCTCCGTTGGATGTTTCGAGTTTATCACCAAGACAATCTTCACGTTCTTCATCGTCAGTATCGGACACCACGACTTTTCTTACATCATCAAAAATCATATCGACGTTGACTGTTCCAAGCAGTGTGCCTTATTCTACATCTTCTTCAAGCTCGAGGTCATCGGGTATTTCAAGTACCATGGTGCAACAGACAACAAGTCCATCAAGTTTGGATTCAAGTAGTACGCCTTATTCTACATCTACAGCGTTGCCAACATCGACTGTTTCAAGCTCCATGATGCAACAGACAATAAGTCCATCAAGTTCGGATTCAAGTAGTGCTCTTTATTCTACATCTTCTCCAGCTTCGCCATCATCGACTATTTCAAGTTCTGTACTACAAGAGACAAACAGCACATCAAGTTTGGATTCAAGTAGTACGCCTTATTCTACATCTTCTCCAACTTCGCCATCATCGACTATTTCAAGTTCTGTACTACAAGAGACATACAGCACATCAAGTTTGGATTCAAGTAGTACGCCTTATTCTACATCTTCTCCTATTTCGCCATCTTCGAGTATTTCAAGTTCTGTACTACAAGAGATAAACAGTACATCAAGTTCTGAATCAAGTAGTACGCCTTATTTCTTATCTTTTCCAACTTTATCAGCATCAAGTATTTCAAGCTCCATACTGCAACTGACAACAAGTCTATTAACTTCTGATTCTAGAAGTTTGCCTTCCTCCACATCCTCTCCAACATCGACGCTTTCGAAGATTTCAAGTTCCATGGTGCCAATAACACAAAGTTCATTAACGTCAGATTCTCGTAGTGTGCTATATTTTACATCTTCCCCTACCTCATCATCAGCGAGTATTTCAAGTTTCACGCTACAGCGGACAACAAGTTCATTGAGTTCTAACTCTAGTACTATCTCAAGTTCTATACTACAACAAACAACTAGTTCTGTAAGTTCAGATTTAAGTAGTGTGCCTTACACCACATCTTCTCTTATTTTGCCATCATCGAGTTCCATACTAGAGCAGACAACAAGTTCGTCGACTTCAAATTCTAGTACTGTCCCAAATTCTACATCTGCATCTTCGTCATCTCTGATTATTTCCACGCCAGGATTATATTCATGTACTATCGTGTATTCTTTAGCATGCGCAGCCTTGTCGAATGTCTCAACTTCTACCATGATACGGAAACAATCGAACAGTACAACAACACTACATTCTGGTAATATTACAACTACGACGACTGAACAACTCGTACCTTCATTGACAACAGCCCCAAGAAGTGCGAATTATTCCACATCGTCCACTACATCTTCCTCTCTATGCAGTTCCTTGGCATGCGCAGCTTTGTCAAATGTCTCAACTTCCATCCTGATAAGCGAACAATCAATCAGTACAACAACACAACATTCAGGTAACCTTTCAGCTACCACGGAACAACTCGAAACTTCATTGACAACAGCCCCAAACAGCGCGAATTATTCCACATCGTCCACTAGATCTTCCTCTCTATGCAGTTTGGTTTATTACAGTTCATGTTCACCTTTCTCTCCGTTGGATGTTTCGAGTTTATCACGAAGACAATCCTCACGTTCTTCATCGTCAGTATCGGACACCACGACTTTTCTTACATCATCAAAAATCATATCGACGTTGCCTGTTCCAAGCAGTGTGCCTTACTCTACATCTTCTCCAGCCTTGAGGTCATCGGGTATTTCAAGTGCCATGGTGCACCAGACAACAAGTCCATCAAGTTTGGATTCAAGTAGTACGCCTTATTCTACATCTATAGCCTTGCCATCATCGACTGTTTCAAGCTCCATGATGCAACAGACAACAAGTCCATCAAGTTCGGATTCAAGTAGTACGCCTTATTCTACATCTTCTCCAGCTTCGCCATCATCGACTATTTCAAGTTCTGTACTACAAAAGACAAACAGTACATCAAGTTTGGATTCAAGTAGTACGCCTTATTCTACATCTTTTCCTACTTCGCCATCATCGACTATTTCAAGTTCTGTACTAGAAGAGACAAACAGTACATCAAGTTTGGATTCAAGTAGTACGCCTTATTCTACATCTTTTCCTACTTCGCCATCATCGACTACTTCAAGTTCTGTACTGCAAGAGACAAACAGTACATCAAGTTTGGATTCAAGTAGTACGCCTTATTCTACATCTTTTCCTATTTCGCCATCATCGACTATTTCAAGTTCTGTACTGCAAGAGACAAACAGTACATCAAGTTTGGATTCAAGTAGTACGCCTTATTCTACATCTTTTCCTACTTCGCCATCATCGACTATTTCAAGTTCTGTACTGCAAGAGACAAACAGTACATCAAGTTCTGAATCAAGTAGTACGCCTTATTCTACATCTTTTCCTACTTCGCCATCATCGACTATTTCAAGTTCTGTACTGCAAGAGACAAATAGTACATCAAGTTTGGATTCAAGTAGTACGCCTTATTCTACATCTTTTCCTACTTCACCATCATCGACTATTTCAAGTTCTGTACTGCAAGAGACAAACAGTACAACAAGTTCTGAATCAAGTAGTACGCCTTATTCTACATCTTTTCCTACTTCGCCATCATCGACTATTTCAAGTTCTGTACTGCAAGAGACAAACAGTACATCAAGTTTGGATTCAAGTAGTACGCCTTATTCTACATCTTTTCCTACTTCGCCATCATCGACTATTTCAAGTTCTGTACTGCAAGAGACAAATAGTACATCAAGTTTGGATTCAAGTAGTACGCCTTATTCTACATCTTTTCCTACTTCGCCATCATCGACTATTTCAAGTTCTGTACTGCAAGAGACAAACAGTACATCAAGTTCTGAATCAAGTAGTACGCCTTATTCTACATCTTTTCCTACTTCGCCATCATCGACTATTTCAAGTTCTGTACTGCAAGAGACAAACAGTACATCAAGTTTGGATTCAAGTAGTACGCCTTACTCTACATCTTTTCCTACTTCGCCATCATCGACTATTTCAAGTTCTGTACTGCAAGAGACAAACAGTACATCAAGTTTGGATTCAAGTAGTACGCCTTATTCTACATCTTTTCCTACTTCGCTATCATCGACTATTTCAAGTTCTGTACTAGAAGAGACAAACAGTACATCAAGTTCTGAATCAAGTAGTACGCCTTATTCTACATCTTTTCCTACTTCGTCATCATCGACTATTTCAAGTTCTCTACTAGAAGAGACAAACAGTACATCAAGTTTGGATTCAAGTAGTACGCCTTATTCTACATCTTTTCCTACTTCGTCATCATCGACTATTTCAAGTTCTGTACTAGAAGAGACAAACAGTACATCAAGTTCTGAATCAAGTAGTACGCCTTATTCTACATCTTTTCCTACTTCGCCATCATCGACTATTTCAAGTTCTGTACTAGAAGAGACAAACAGTACATCAAGTTTGGATTCAAGTAGTGCGACTTATTCTACATCTTCTCCTACTTCGCTGTCCTCGAGTATTTCAAGTTCTGTACTAGAAGAGACAAACAGTACATCAAGTTCTGAATCAAGTAGTACGCCTTATTTCTTATCTTTTCCAACTTTATCAGCATCAAGTATTTCAAGCTCCATACTGCAACTGACAACAAGTCTATTAACTTCTGATTCGAGAAGTTTGCCTTCCTCCACATCCTCTCCAACATCGACGCTTTCGAAGATTTCAAGTTCCATGGTGCCAATAACACAAAGTTCATTAACGTCAGATTCTAGAAGTGTACTTTATTTTACATCTTCCCCTACCTCGTCATCAGCGAGTATTTCAAGTTTCACGCCACAGCAGACAACAAGTTCATTGAGTTCTAACTCTAGTACAATCTCAAGTTCTACACTACAACAAACAACTAGTTCTGTAAGTTCAGATTTAAGTAGTGTGCCTTACACCACATCTTCTCTTATTTTGCCATCATCGAGTTCCATACTAGAGCAGACAACAAGTTTGTCGACTTCAAATTCTAGTATTGTCCCATATTCTACATCTGCATCTTCGTCATCTCTGATTATTTCAAGTTCCTTGCTGCAACTGACATTTAGTCCATCAAGCTCAGATTCAACGCAGGAAACAGTCACCTCGATCCAAGATTTTAAAAAAAGTCCTATCAGGTTGACCACCATTCGGACTCCCGTTTCAAGCCGTGTCCTTCCTACTTCATCATCTTTACCACATGAGTCCAAGAGTGTGTTCTCTATCCTATCACCAACACCCTCATCTACAAAGCTAACGTTGATCACTTCATCTACAGCCATCAGTCCGCCAACTACTCCTGATCCAGGAACAACAAAGCGATTTACCGTGACGTTTGTAATCACAAACGTGGATTATGAAAAAGAACATGGAGACGAATTTATATCTCTTTCAGAGAAAGTAAAAAATTCAGTTGATAAAGCACTTGAAGAAAATATCGGCAGGGAATTTGCTTACTCCATTGTGGAACGGTTTAGTGAAGGTGAAAATATTAACTGCCAGATAACAGTCGTCGTCTCCAGAGCTTCCAACGCCACGGAAGAAATGATTCGAAACGCACTCGGGGAAAAACTTGGAGACTTAAAAATAACGAATGTTGTTATTGTAGACACAGAGACAGAAAAACCAACTGCAGAGAAAGAGATCGCTTATGTAGTCACAGCAACATTAAAAGGTGAGGTGTACAACAGTAACCTTGGAGACTCCTCCAGCAAGGAATTCAAAACTTTAGCTTTAAAACTACGTGAACTACTAACTGGAGTATTCGAAGAAAGATATAAAACTTCGTTTGTTCGAGTGGAAATCATAGCCTTCCGCCAAGGTAGTGTTATATGTGAATTTAACGTTATCACGAAAGAAAATTCGAAGGTGACGAACGCTGGTGTAAAAGAAACACTAACACAAGCAAGTAACAAAGGAGAGATAGGAGATTACACTTTTACTGAGATTCAAGTTGATAAAAAGACGAGCACAAAACAGCAAACTGGGGATGAAGAAAAAACGTTGCCCAGCTGGTTGTTCGTTGCGATTGCGGTCTTGGGAGTAATGGTGCTGCTTGCAATTGTGATTATATTTTTGGTAAGATCAAGTTATTATGGATGGGAGCTGATATTCAAAATAGTAAAGAAGAGCTCAATTATTTTTTATATCCGCTTAGCCAAAGAAAAATAATTTTAACATCTACCTTCTGACCTCAGTAACAGATGTCAGGCATCTACCAAATCGGAGATCCCTTTTGCAGAATCTAATAGGGTGGAAAAGGAATAACAGAGTCGCAATTAACAATAACGCATGGTACACTAGCCCCGTGAAGTCCACCATTTTCTGTGCCAAAATCTAAAGGTTTTTATCTAAAAAACGGTTCTCGATCTTCCATATCCTTTTCCATCCTTGCCTGTGTATACTACGCAGGTCACGTAAATTGTGTCATCGCCTCTTAACGTTATCAGTATTATAATTATTTGCATTTACTTTCTCATCGATTTGCGTCGATAATCGTAATATTTTTGTGGTTTGCCGTATGTTAACAAACTTATGAGCGAGGTTAGGAGCGTAACAAGAAATTTTTCAAAGGGAGATTCACGGTTACGAATTCCCCGCGCCCTACGTTTATTGGCCATACAGCATCTGTACCTTGTGCATCGGGCTCGTATCCATACGAGAGAAAAACTTATGAATTGAGTGTGTAGCATCAAATAAGATTCGCGCTATGCTCATTCCTCAGATTAGCACGTTTTCGCCACTTGAATCATATGTTTTACAGGCATTTGAATAACAAAAAAGTTATCTCTTAAAGGGCTTGGTGGGGTCACAGGTAACCGAGCGGCCCTGCTACAGCTACGCACCTCGGCAAAGGTTGACTAGGATCCTTGGAAACGACGGACGTTGCCATGAAACGCCCTTATGGTTACCCTGAAACGATATATAGCTTCCAAATTAGCAAAAACTAGAGCGGCGTTAAGAAAATACGGCTTATAACCTACAGTGTTTGATGAAGCACAGATTGTAAGATTGTTTAAAATAATCTCAAACAGCTATAAAAATATATAACCAGATACATGTAACCTTGTTTGGCTAGCTTTATCGGAACGTATGGCACTGGACAAGGAAAAGCTCCCGAAGTTTAGGCGATCCCATTATCTTAAAGCGGGATAATAAAACTACCACATTACAATTCCTTGTATCATTTCTGTTTTTTTTTTTTCTCAGGCTTGTAGAAAGCGAAATAAACGAAGCCACAACCTGGCATTTCTGGACGTATATGAGAACTATGGTATTGCGATGGAGGAAGTTCAGGTGGGAAAGTCGAACATGAACCATCAAGAGGATGACTAAAATAAAAGGTGAAAAATCAACGAACTCTCTGCATGCTTTTTTAGAGTTTTTCGTAGTAGTTTTTATTTCAATAGTTAACCCTGGAGCACTGAGTGCTGGTAAAAACGTTTGAAACGAAATGGCAAGATGCTTACTAGAGAACAAACATTCATTTAATGGTCGATGACATTTAACTGTTGTTGTGAACGACGCTTGATTATAATAATGAACATGGGACGCTTTGCGGTTAAGCGAAGAAAAAGCGAAACCAAAGCAACCCCATGAGACGAAAGGAAGTCTAGCTACGATTCTTATCAGCTACATGTATCTTATTAGACGTTTTGGTGTGTAGTATCGCTGAGTATTTTTACAAGTTGTGCCGTATTTTGACTTGCCCTACTGGCTCGTTAAAATACAAACAACGAGTAAAAATACTCAGCGATCCTACGCTCCAAAACGTCCAATAAGTTATTTATTATCCAACTGCTTTTTTTTCTGGTAACTCTTTTGGCTCATTTCTCATAAGGCGGGAAAAGCAAAGCAGATAGAGAAGCGTTGCGCGCGCAGCCGACTGGTTAAACAGGTTTTTTAACAGTACAAAACAACCAACTGTCCAAATAACCGTACAGTATCGCAGGATATTTGTACTCTGTAACATTATTAATCCGATTTCATTCTTTGTTGCAGATAAGCTATGGCCAAAAATGAAAACGAAATGAAAAAGAGATATATCGCGTTCAAGATGAACAACACAATGCACATTTTAGAGATATTGTACAGATGCAGGGAAAATGCCCGTGGATAACATTATACTTGAGACCCAAGTTATCTGCAAGTTACGGAGAACGGCATGTCGTTTTAGTTCCTTCAAGATTCATCACCATTTGGTAATTTCTCCCTAGCATTTGCAACGAAGGATGGCCACAATGGATATAATGTGGATAAATTACAGGGAAACTGACCAAGTACATTGAGATTGAACGAAAATTCCAGTTCAATGCCGGCTTCTGTTTGACTTTGCTCAATACATTTACATAGGTCACGAAGGATAAAGAAGGACAGTGTCATTGACTGGAAGAAAAATCTCACCCGAAGGACTTCACATATCAGGGAATACAAAAAGGTTAACTTTGCTAAAGAAACGATAAAAAACTTTTTTTTTTATAAATCATCGGTTAGAACCCATTAGATCTAATTTAAAAAATATGAAACTAGATCAAATATCAATACCATTGATGTTAACATGGTGAAGATGAAATTTTGAAATAGGAGGCAGTTTGTTGGTGTCTCATCTAGAGAAGTTCTGCTCAATTTAATAGGAGTAAGTTTTGTACGTCATAGTGTTTGCAAGAGATATAGGCGAGTCTTTGAAGACTTAAGTTTTTTTTTGTGAGAAAAAAAAGGGCAAGAATACCCAAGAAATAGCGCACAATATTGATAAATATAACGCAGCATAGCCTTAATAAAGAACCTCTAACCGTTTTTGTCACGTTTTTTCTTATATATTAGAGCTTCACAAAAGAAAAAGGATGGACCATAGTGGGAATAAGGGGTGATTACGATGTTTCTTTTTCTTCGCTTTTACCAAATATCATTCATCTGTATCGTTTAGTCGACCTTAAAATGCTACATCAAGGCTACTCACATACTCACGGCCAAAGTATGATTTAAAACATTTTTCCGCCTATATATCCAGCACGAGGATCTACCCTTTAGGTACTAAAAACAACGCATGATTACTATTTTCTGTTCGTTTTAGTTTTAAAATTGTATGTGTTCATTAAGTCTCCATTTCATTTGGGACGCCCCAAATATGATCGGAACGTCGTCGCGAATTGTACCCCGGGCCCAAATTGTATCTATCTTTATTTTACAGAATTAAATATTTCACGGAAACCCTCGTGTTGAAATCTGTGCTTTTACTTCGTACCAAAATTTCGAAAACCGATTTCATATAAAAATCTGCTATTGCTTAATATCTTTGTTCTTCGATACTCATAATTTGTGGAATGGACTCAAAAAGCGCCTACTTATTCCTATTTCCATTGGCCTTAGCTTTTTTTTAACCCAGGTATGATGATTTTAGCTTTCCCTGCAACATTACCCCACCTAAAAGTTTATTTCTAATCGCTTTCCATGTATTCCACATCGCATATTTTTGACGTCTGCTTGAATCTTCATGTCAGTGTGGCGGCTCAGTTGTCTTTTGTCCTTGAAGATCGCTTTTCCATCTCTGAGAGTGACAGTTGCAAGCGACAGTCCTAAAGTGTGGGCTTATTCACGAAAGAAGACGGTCTTTGTCGGAGGACTTTTCCATTGCTATTTACACGTGCACCCTACAAAGATTCGTCACTTTGAAAATTATTTGAAAAATTTGTCTTCATTTTCCAAGAGTCTTGTAGTCATTTTGGTGGAATAGCTGGCTACCTTCATGGAGCTGAAGGCAAAAGAAATAAGAAATACCCGTGCCAGCTGGCTACTGAGTTACTAGTGAATAAAGGCCTTCGCTTCCATCGCTCTGACGAAGGGCTAATGCTCGAAACGTCAGCTTTTAAACTCTTGACGGTGACAAATTTACGTTATCAACTCAGTCGACAACACTAAATTTCCCTAAATTACTACTGAATTAAGGTCAGAAAAAAGGCAAAAAGGAAAAATATAAAATTCGAATAAATTAGCATCATGGTATAAAGATTTTTCTTCAAAATTTTGGAAACACAACATCAGACGCTCTAAAGAAGACCGAGACAGAATTTTTCCTTACGATATCTATACAATATCATGCAAACAAGCGATGAGAATAAAGAAAAATATCAATTATGTGATTACTAATTGATCAGTTGCCAAATTCTCCAAACTAACATAATGAGATTCATTTGGCAGACAGTAAAGAGAACTACTAATGAGATCTTGGGAGTTAAAGGGTAAAGTGTCTCTAAAAACTTGATCAGTAAGGCAGATAAGTTCAAAGGACAAATCACACGCTGACATTAAAATGAACAGTAAAAGTTCATTTCAAACAGACCAACATGGGGAAAACTTACTTCATCTTTTTAATAAATCAAGGGCTTTTATTAAGCAAACCTAATAGCAGATAAAACTAAATTAAACATTTATAATATTAGAAGTCAAATGTTGATTAAAATAGTCCTTTGTTAGAGGTGCCTATGTCCAAAGAATTTAGACTCCAATGAATACATATTGTACGCATGTCACTGCATTTGCTAGATATAAAAGAGAGTCTTAAAAGACTAACATTCTTAAGGAAAAAAATCAATTAACTTTAACTGTTTTTGTTTGTTTTGTTGTTTTTTTCCAAAAGCAAAGATCCATCATACAATAACGTAACAAAAATAAAAATAAAGAGTTCCGGATTAAAGTTGAACACATTGGTTGTCACTTAAAGAAGAGTTGTGATAATTTACAATCCAAATTTATTTATTGCTAAAATTGCTTTAATTCAGGACCACAAAAAGTATGGTCTCACACTAAATATTCAGCTATCTTATACAAAAGATACATACAATACTTACAGTTCATGAAATTACATGTCCATTTTTTTTTCTATTATATGCATCAACCAATTAATCATGAACAAATTCAAAGAGCCTTCTTGGTAGTATTAGGAATTCCACTCTTTGGTCTGCCTGATTTTGGTCTGGTTGAAGGACTGTTAAAATAATTTGAGGAAATTAATTCTGACAATGAATTAATCATCAATAAATAGTTATTAATTAACCATAACTAGTAATTATTATTGATTAATTCATTCTCTACTAGGGGTTATTTTTAACTCTCAACAGTAATCTAGGAATGCATTGGCTTGGCTTTAAATCTTTCTGTGATTGCTCTAGTTAAGTCCAACCACACTCTCTTCACCAATAGTTAAGCCTTTATACAGGCCCAAGTGGCCCATGGGGCCAGTGCTTAACTCCGGTTTTCTTAGCATGAAGCGGCTAGGAGTATTGCTACTCTCCCCTGGATGGGATACTAGTCCATCGCAGGGTTACCCCCAACACATTTGCTGGTAACCATTTGTACACCTGGGTGAAGGGAAGCACTGTGAGAGTAAAGTGTCTTGCCTAAGAACACAACACAATGACCCTGGCCAGGGCTCGAACCCAGACCACCCGATCCGGAGTCAAGCACACTAACCATGAGGCCACCATGCCTCCACACTCTTCACCAATACTAAAGATCAAAATTTAAAAAATGGCAACTTGGGGCTGGATGCTTGTTTCTCCTCTGAGCTCTCATTTGCTAAGTTTAAAACTTTCTTTCTTTATAACTGGTTTGTGATTCCTTGGCTTTGTACTTTAACCCTTTAAACCCTTGGAGTGATAAACATCTAATTTCTCCTAACAGTATCACCCCTAGTTCAAACATTAAGGTCATAAGAGTAAAGGTAATGATTACAATGTTTATCAATAAAGGGCAAAATTACTGAGCGCTGATTGGTTGAGAGAGAGGGCATTTTTTTCTTAATCAAGGGCATTTTTAGTAATCAAGAGATTACCTGTTAATGATTGGCTCCTTGTTGCTTCTCAGATAAAAATAGACTGGGATTTTCCTTCGTATAAATTTTGCCCTTTATTGATAAACAAGAAATAGTATTAAGGATTAATTGCACTTGAGTTTTCAAAATTTTGGAAAATTTTGAAAACTCTCATGCAATTAATCCTTAATAGTACTTGGCCTCATGTGATTACCTATACAAATTCTCCTTGTGAGTAGCATTGGGAACATACAGAGAAAAGTATAGAGAACTCGTAAACTGATGTTAGGGTGTAAAGGGCTAACATTCAATAAAAATATGCCCTATTCACAAACATAAAATTAACATCAAACCTGCTCAATTCCTGATCAGTTTCTTCCATGATAGCTGATTTATCAGGTAGGGTTGCTGTTAACAACAATGAACATAGGGTTATAATTTAAAGTTAGTGTCAAATAATTTTCTGTACCTGCCAGAGTGGCCATAAAGGTTGCAGCTTGGAGCATTGTATTATCATTCTACATAAATTCAAAAGTATACTTCCAAATCAGCTTTAGCCTCGTTATCACAAGACCCCACAAGCTTTGAGCTTTGAACCCTATTGTGTTTAAATAAAGCAAGCCTTTCTATCGCTCCTTTCACATAGAAATAAGAACTTATTTATATATAAAAGTGAACTCCTATACTAGTGGCTATTTACACTCAGGCTTCTTTTTCATAGAGAGGCTTTTTTGCATTAAAAGAGTGACGTGTGGTTCCTCTTACCAACATTGTTATTGACACCAGGGTGTTTTGCAAGGCCAATAAGAAATCCATAAAAAGTAACTCTTTCAACAGACGATAACAGTTCCTTAATGACCTCAACAGGTGGACAACTGAAAGAATGATTTTCAAACTACAGTAAATTCCTTCACAATTGTAAAAAGTTTTTAAATCATTGAGCCTCAAGGCTCTATTTTGGATTTCAGGAAAAGTCAATCCAATGTAAGGCAATCAGTGAAACAGCTGTATAAGGCTTTAGAGTGACAAATGTCATACTTACAGAAGGATGTTTTTTTGTCTTGTCACGAGCGTGGGACAAAGAAAAATTCTGAGTCCCCATGAGGAATCAAACCTCAGACCTTCAGATTTGCACTCCAATGCTCTACCACTGAGCCACAAAGACTCTTCAGTGATCAGGGTCTATTACGAAGTTCTAATGACACGTGTCCCGCATATGGCTAGGATCAACAATGTCAATAGCGTAATGTTTTTTGACAGAAAAGTAGAGGCAGAAAAACAGTAGCTAAGATCAGAAATATCAAAGACATCTGGTACAGATACACATATGGACTAAGAAAGATGATAAAAGTTGGGAACTTGCTCGTCAAGTAAAAAGATTTGAAACATTTGCCATGGATCTGGGAGAAAAAAGTAACAGTTTAGAAAAGAGTATACCTGAAGGAGCCATTGCTGGTATGAATAATTTGAAGGATGGCCTCCAAGAAAGAATGAACCTCCACTCCATCCTCAGGACTGACCTGAGCAGCATCTGGTGCAGTGTGTGCAGGCTGCTGTGTCTTGTGCTGAGTGGGCCTGGACAGTGTTGGCACTATCACTATCTGACCAGGTCTATAAGTACCTGATATCAGGGCTTGATAAGTGCTGTGAAGTTTCTCTATAAACTCTGTAAAAAAAACTCTTTGTCAGAAAAGAATTTATGCACATCAACATCAACTTTACTTCCAAGCCTTTCTTTAGAGGTATGGACTAGTAACATTTAAAAGAAAGATTTCCACAAAAAACAAAGATCAGAAGAATGTCAAAGTGAAGAAATGAAGAAGGTGAAAAAGATTGGACAAAAATAACTGTAAATGAGGTTTGAGGATGAATTTTCAACATATTATGTCAAAATACATAAGCATTGCTCAATTGGAATCAAAGGAATAAGTAGGATTAAGTGTACGATGACCTTTAGCAGAATCTTATTGAATGTTGGAGCTAAACATGTACCAAAATGTTTTATTCATTACTAAAAAATTACTTTTTTTCTTTTTTACCAGAGACAGGGTCAAATGCAGTCTTGCAGATCTCCCCCCCCCTCCACATATGTAAGCCCCATAAGAAGTCCATTATAACAAAGGGTGAAAAGCAAGGTGATGTTTCCACTAGATGGGATTTGCCGAAAATAAATGGCAAACACAAATTCAAATGCAAAAACTATTCAAAAAAAGAAAAATGTATTACTCAAGTTATGAAACCACCATGAAGACAAAGGTAAATAGAGAATAATATCTATTTAGGGAAATTATTACAGAGGACTAAAGCTAAACAAATGTAAGAGCAAATTAACCCAGATTGCAATTCAGTTTTGGTTAAGGTTTGTGTGTAAATGGCATCTCCTGAGACAATCAAATTTGCTGTAGTTTTAATTTGCAAACATGTGATAAGATTTTCACCTCTTCAGACTGAAATAGTCAAGATTACTATTTGCTAACTTACCCTCATAAAAGAACTGTGTTTGGAAAGCATAAAGAAAATCTGGAAATGACATCAGACAATCCATAGCATCTTCCATTAAAATAATCCTGAAAAAAGGCAGATGTTTTAACCCTTGAATTCCCAAGATATGATTGTCAATTCTCCCCTCTAGCTGCTACACATTTCCTTGTAAATTAGTTGGAAGAATTGGGTGTTAGATCAAGATATAGACTTCCACCTGATAAGTTTGAGCGTTCTCATTACCTTTTTGCTAGATAACGTATTAACATTATAGGAAGAAGTTACATATTAATCACTACTGGGAGTTAACCCTTTCACTCCCACAAGTGACCAATGCAGAATTTCTCCTTACAATATCAATACAATATCAAGCAGGCAGGTGATGAGAATAGAGAAGAATATCAATTATGGGATTATTAGTTGATCCAATACCAAATTCTCTGAACTAACATCATAAGAATTGTATGGGAGATAGTAAGGAGAATTACTAATTAGATCTTGGGAGTGAAAGGGTTAAAGGGTTAAAGGATAGTGAGTGACAAAGAACAGCATGCTAGTGATCCATGTATAACCCACCTTGCTGTCTTCTGAACTGGCTCAAATGGAAAATCAGGGCACAACAGGCACACTAGAGAATGATATTCCTTTGCAGATAACAAATCTGTGGTCAATAAAAAATTAGCTTTCTTAAGATGCTTGCCCATTTTCTTTTTGTTTGCAGAGTAGTGCATGCAGACCAGGCACTGAAAGCTCTCTCAATAATTTGTTTATTTATACTTAGTCTTAGGAGTTTTCCATCAACTTTAGTCTCACCAGGAATAACTGTTATTGACACTAAATACAGCATTTCCTTGAATAAGTGCCCTCCCCTGAACATTGGTTCCCCCCCCCAAGACCACAATATCAAACAACCTCCCCCTCCCCCTAAATGAATGCCCCCTCCTCCTTCACTTCTCTTAAGAGGTAGAGACAGAAGAAAAATTTTTTCCTGTTGAAACTTTCTTTCTATCTTTTAAGGATTCAACTAAAGTAGAATCAGTTCAGGTTAATAGTGTCTTAATAAGCACACCCTTCCCTTCAACAAACACCCCTCCCTTCAACAAACATCCCTCCCTTCAACAAACACCCCTCCCTTCAACAAACACCCCTCCCTTCAACAAACACCCCTCCCTTCAACAAACACCCCTCCCTTCAACAAACACCCCTCCCTTCAACAAACACCCCTCCCTTCAACAAACACCCCTCCCTTCAACAAACACCCCTCCCTTCAACAAACACCCCTCCCTTCAACAAACACCCCTCCCTTCAACAAACACCCCTCCCTTCAACAAACACCCCTCCTTTCAACAAACACCCCTCCTTCAACAAACACCCCTCCCTTCAACAAACACCCCTCCTACTAGCCAAAATTTTAAATATGTGCCTGATGATTAACTGAGGAAATACAGTACTCATAATATAGCCTAAATCATATTAGGAACTAATTCACCATCTTCAAATTAAACTACGACTGACAATACACAAAAAGAGCAACAAATTAAAATCAAAAGGAAAACACGAACGACACAATAACTTTTACAAACTCAATATTATTTCCATGCAAGCTCTGAATTTTTTTTTCTATCATACCTCCATTCCTTCCGATATGTCTAAAACATTTCCAAAACACTCTGATAAAAGAGGCAATATTGTGAGGTGTCTTCTTGATGTAACTATACTCCCTGAATAGAGTGTGATTCCCTTGCACAACACTCCTGAAGCTATGAAAGAAGACAGTAGATAGATACATTAGACACTAGAGAATGATTTGCAGGGACAAAACTTTCTCTACCTGGAGTTTCTTTAAAGAATTCTGTACCAATCAAGTTCCTCAGCAGACAGCAGACAAGATTCATTGATTATTTTCTTAGTAGTAGCACTATTCCCAATTGATGACAACATGCTGAATAAAAAATAAATGATAATGCAACCTCAAGAGGTTACCATAGCCAAAGAAAAAATAAGGCTGTGCTTAATGCATTCCAGTATCTCAGTAACAAACACCTGAATACAGTACCACAGCTATTACTTAATTAATAAAAATAAAAATGAAAATTATGATGATGAAAACAATGATAACTATACAAATGGATAATAAATCATACAACAAATAAATGAATTTCATGAACCACTCACTAATCACTCAGAAATCGAGCTGGAATGACCCTTGGATTCTCTTCTTTATGCTCCAGTAGCTGTGCAACTGCATCCTGTCAGATACAATTAAAACATAAATCACGAAAAATAAACATTAAAATACAGTTCAACCCTAATCATTTGTAATAGTGCTAGCTAATTACTAGAGAAATTGAGTATCAATTTTAACATCCATTTAAACTTCTTGTGACCCTGACCTGTAATGAATACATAATACTTTGATGAAAACATCAATAGAAAAGATGGTATTGATTGGCCTAGCCTCAAAGCTGCTCGGTAAATATCCACCACTTTGATGATTACCCATGACCTTGAGTGACCTCGACATGATTATTGTACAATCTGCAGCTAGATGACATCCTAGGCACTGATTTTGAAAATTCACTGTACGCTTTCAGCCAATCAAACAAGAGATGGTGAGTTGAATGTATAATAATAATAATAATAATAATAATAACACAATCTCCTTAACATTTGTGAAGAAGTGGGAAGACTCACAGTGACTCAGCTATACAAGTAATGAAACCCCACAAAAACTCTTTTCTGCTCCTTGCAACCTACAATCTGCATAACACATCCTCCGCTATACATCTGCATATCTTACCTGAAGGTAGGTCAGTACGTGGTACTTCGCTGAAAGAGAAACATATCCTATACCTCAGAAGAGAGAAATTGTTTATCCAGTTGTCATGCTCGGACAAACATCTGTTAATTATAGCGTTGCGTAGTCTGTCAAGTTACCAGGTGACCTTACCTAAATATTGTTCAGCCGTTAGGGAAAATCTGTCACTTTCATCGGACATTTCATGAAGAAGCGACTTTGTCAGGTTTAAAGAAATATATTTTATCAAGACTTGCGAATTTTTGGTTCAAATAGCCCCTTTTCCCGCCATATTGGATGGCCTGCAATACTAAACAGCGGACGGTACCAACAAAAATCATGCCTAAGAGAGCCAGCAGTGAAATGAGTAATTAAAGATGGCGGAAGATAGTGTTAGCTTAGAAGACGAATTCTACAAGAAACTGTTGTTAGAAAAAGCCAAAAAGCTAGAAAATGCACCTCCTGATAGGCACGAATTTGTACCAACTCCACAATTTGTTATGAAATTGCGAAACAGTAAAGAAGAGAAAGTCTTTATCAATATTTGCACTTCAGAGAAAATCCCTCCAGCTAAAGATGTAACGGAGGAAACTTTAGTTGAAGTTTTGGAATCTGAGGACCCTACTCAATATCGTGTACCTATGAGTCTTGGAGAACCTCATGTCGAAGTTGATAATCGTGGCCAAGGTGAGGGTCCTTTGTTTTGAATGTTCTTTTCTTTACAGAGGCGTAGTCTTATATTAATTTACTGTTGTTGTGGATGCCGTGTACCACTTTAATAAAGCAATCCGCATACTTGCATACTCAAGCGCTCTCTACTCACTATTTTTTTTAACTGTGATGTTTCTAAAACTCTTTTGCTCATTTCAGGTTGCACAGCTTATGATGTGGTTATAAATCCAACGTTTTACAACAAGATTCAAAACAGTGAACTCTTCAAAAGCTTCTTCTTGACAATTGTTTTTGAGGGACTTGAAAGTAAATATGATATGGAACTAGAAAGGAAATGGACTGTACTGAAGAACAAGAAATGCATGGGAGTTCTTCAGCCCCATTGCATAAGGAGCAAAAGTAAACCAGTAATAATGGAAATGGAAAGTGAAACAAAACCACTTACAAAACCAGGTAGTATTAGAAGCAAAGTTTTTTATTTAAACCTTTTGGGCCAGTGATTTGCAAGTGGTCTAACCCAGTTTTACACAAGCAGCATAGAATACTTGTTGTTACTTTATTCGGTAAAGTTTCCGCACAGCCCCACATGCATTCAGTTCTTGGATAGAGAAAACAATGACAAAAACAATACATTGCGATTGGGAAAACAGATTTGTTTCACAATAGTATAGGGCTGTGCGGAAATTTTGCCCTTTATTCTTTTGAAACTGAGACAAGCTACCACAGTTAACCCTTTCACTCCCAAGATCTTATTGGTAATTCTCCTTACTGACTGCGACACAATTCTTATGATGTTAGTTCTGAAAATATGATAGTGGATCAACTAATAATCCCCTAGTTTATATTTTTTTTCATTCTCTTAACTTGTTTTCTTGAATTTGTATGATAATGTAACGAGGAATTCTGTCTTGGTTACTCATGGGAATTAAAGGGTTAAAGGCCACCAGGCTCACAAGGCTAAGATGAACCAATCCCTCAACACTTTACTTCTTGTAGTTCTGTTAGGGAAAAGGTTGGGGAATAATAACTCAGCAGTGAAGAAGCTGGGGTCTGGTCTAAAACAGGAACAAGACTTAATAAAAAGGAGAAATGTCAAGAAATGGAAAAATATTTTTGAGCTTTAGAATAAGAGGTTAATAACAAGATATTTTAAAACTAGATCAAGAGTTGCAAATACCCAAGATAATTATTTCATGATAATAGTTATCATGATAAAAGCAGGGAGGATATGATTATATAATAGTACTGCTTTATTTTTCACTGAGTATTTTAGAGCCAATCACACCAAGTCTACTCAGCTAAATCCACCAATCACAGATTTGATCACAATAACCATAGCAACAACCATTTATCCTAAGAAAATCTGGAGAATTTCCAAAATGGAGGAAGTATTAACTTTAGAAATCGTTTCCTTTCAAAATATTTGTGGATGTAGATGTATTTTTGTTTTTTCAGAAATTGTAATGTTTATGGTTGATTGGTAACAGGACTTCATGTCATTGAATTCTGTCTGCAATCATGCTCACGATTAACAAATCAGATTCCCACTTGGTGGTTGTTTGATTTTGGTAATCACTTGTATGATTCAGACCAAATTGGACACCACTCAGTCCTATTACCATTAATAATAATAATAATGATGATGATGATGATGATAATAATGCTGGTGCTATCAATCATCTCTCATCATTTTTTTTTTTACCCAAAAAACTAATTTATTTTATGGCTTGCTCGCAATTTCCCTGGACACTAATGTGTATACCATAGATCAAGTGTGGTTACTTTAATGTTATGGAAGTAACCACACTAGATTTACAGTATACACAAACTATCTGTACAGTGAGTGAATTTTCAAAATTATTTATCATTCTTAAGAAACATTAAAAATGCTGTACTGTGGTGCACCTTTATTTACTTTTTATCTCTGTTTCCTCCTTAGCAGAACCTAAAATGATAGAGGTAGTACAGGACTCCAAATCAAGGGCCTTGACTCCAAAGTATAATATAATAAGGGAGCCACCAGATGGAAAACCAGAGTTTTTGGTCATTGAGATTAACCTCCCAGGAATTGTGAGTAAGGACAAATAACTTTTTATCAGGGTGGAGATGACAAACAACTGTGATGTGATGCACTATTTGGGGTGTTGAAAGTTTCTTGTTCTTTTTTTAACCCTTAAACTCCCAAGATCTGATTGTTAATTCTCCCCTCTAGCGGCTAGACATTTCCTTGTAAGCTAATAACAAAACTTGGTGTTAGATCAAGATGAGTATTCTCATTACCTGTTTACTGGATAATATATTAATATTGTAGGGAGAGGTTACATACTGATCACTTCTGGCAGTGAAAGGGTTAATATTACATTTTGTGAGTTTTAAACCTTTTCATGGGATTAGTTTAAGCTACTTGCTTGTATTATTTATTCTTTCTTATAAGAATTCAGTGTTTGTGAGTTTTAGTCTTGAAGACTTAAAAATGAAAACTAGACAGGCTTAGATTAATACTTCCTTCAAAGGAAACTGCTCATATAAATAAATAGCTTGTAAACATCCTGCTCCTATGATTGGGCACCTCAAGAGATCTAATAGAAGCAAGACCATCTGTCTGCTGAGCTGGAATTGATGTGTCCAAGGAAACTGCTTTTTCTTTGTGATGGAGAGAAATCCTGGTTTTCTTCTTGAAAGATAGAAACAAAATATTGTTGTTACAGTATCCTTCCTGGAGCTTTCATGGAGTTGTGGTTAGAAATGGATATGAATGCGTACATTCATATTGTTTCATTTTGTTTTAAACTTTTTCATATTTTTCCTATTCAATCCAGAAGTCAACCAAGGACACCACTCTTGATGTTGGTGAAGACAGATTAGTCCTGAGAGTCAATCCTGACAAGTACCAACTGGATCTTGACTTACCTTTTGATGTTGATAATGACACATGTGGGGCACAGTATAACAGGAAAACAAAGGTGAGGTACCTTGTATCATAATATTATTTGGCTTATTATTGTTACATCTGTTTCATTGATGCCTGTTTGCTTTTTTCCATCTTAGCACATCAGAAATATCCTAGCATTATAAGGCCATATTAGTCCTTTTTAACTCCACAATCTTAAAATCAGTTATCTGCATCTTTTTTGTTGTGTTCATCATGACTATGAACTGAAAATTCTGTTGGGGTTGTGTCAATCCATAACACCTGGGCCCAGTTGTTCAAAGGCCGATTAGCTCTAACCCAGAGTTAAATTTTAATCCAGCTTTCTTTATTTCTTTGTTCAAAAGTCTTTTGGGGAAAATTTTCACTATTCTTTTTAGAACATCCAATGATCAAATTGCAAGCAAAAAGATTTGAACTGAATTTCCCTTGAAGTTTTCAGACCTGAAATCAAATTTCACACTAACCCTGGGTTACCTTAACCCAGCTTTGAACAACCAGGGCCTGGTTAATATTTCTATTTCTTCTTAACCCTTTGACCTTTGACACCTGATAGTGACTAGCATCCATTTTCACCTTGCAATCACACATTAAGGTCAGGAGAATAAAGGAAATGATCACTAACAAGAGAAGCTCTTGATTGTTAAACAAATTCTCCTTATCAGCACCCTAGGAAATTGTATAGATAACAGGATAGAGAACATGTAAACTGATGGTAGGTTGTAAAGGGTTAAAATTTACCTACTTGAAAATGAGTTTACGGTGTACAGGAAGACGAGTTCCAAGTAGGGTTTGAACACAATGTACCTATCATAAAGTCACCTCACCTCCCTTATATGTGACGCGGACTTTTTCTTTTATTTATGCCATGTTTTATTTCTTTCCCCAGGTTCTTACTCTTACTTTACATGTTCTCAGCAGCAGCTGACAGCAAAGTAAATCAATTTATTATCATTAAGAAATGTATAATTTAAAGTTGCTATCTTTTCTTATTGCATCCTTAAATTTTTTGTACCATAAATGTATTTTATGCTTATAATATTATTTAAATTTATGAAAAATTAACAGTTTAGGGTACAATGGTTCCTCATATCTGAGAGAGATTATGTAATGACCCAGTAGCCCGTGCCAGGTGTTCAGTCAATGAGTGGAGTGCAAATGTGTGGCAGAATGATCACATGGTGAGAGGTTCTTTGTTTTTTTTTTGTTTTGTTTTTTTAACAGAAAATATATTTAAGTAAAAAAAGTATTTTGTATAATTTTCAATGTTTCTGTAAGTCATCATTTGTTAATTAGAGAAACATAACACCACCACTTAAACATGCCTGCTGTGTGCAGCATTGATCCTAATGTTTCAAGGTGTCGAGTGACTGTGTACACTTCTGCTATGTAACAGAACTCCCTAACCCTTCACCAGTAACCCCATATCTATTATTAGTATGTCCCCTCCAGGCACTATACGATTTCATGCAAAATGCTTGGGAGAATTTGGCTTTATATCAAGATACCAGTCAACACATCTGTTATCTCTTGTAACCTGTTTGATGACATTTGTCCTGATATGGCATGTGGAAGGAAAGTGCTGATAACTGGTGCTGGAGATGAAGAGTGAACACACCTTTTTCAAACCTTTGACCCTTAAGAGTGACCAGCATCTATTTTTTCCTTACAATATCACCCCTGAATCACTCATTAGGGTCATGAGAGAAGAAAATAATCACCAAATTAACAAGCTTGTGATTGTTAAACAAATTCTCTTTGTCAGTACCTTAGGAAATGTATGGAGAACAGTATGGAGAATCTGCATACTGATGTTAGGCCGTAAAGGGTTAAAGCTGAATGCTTGCTGTATTTCCTAGAAACACCCCTGTCCAACGATCCAAACACAAATACTTCACAGACCTTTGCTAGAACTTATTTTCTGGTGTCATTTTATACACTGCTGTCTGACTATTCAAACAGAAGTACTCAAGAATACACTTTGTGAGCTGCTGAATCACCCAATCATTTTTGTAAATAATTTGGAGTGTAGGATGGAAACTTTAACACCACAAAAAGAAGTGGTAGAGTATCAAGGAGACTGTTGGAATATAACCTTCTTTTGAAAAGATTATGTACTCTAATGAATAGTCAGATTTGGATAATATTTCCAATGAATTGCTGATTAAGTGTCTTCCACCCCAGTTGTTAGCAAAGAGGGCATGGGTCTGCCTCCTAATGCAGATAATTGCTATTTTAGTAAAAAGTAACTTATCAGGTGATCCTGTTCCAAAACAACTATAGAAAAATAAGGTGCTACACTCTACCCTGTAATTGTTGGGCTGATTAACCTTCATTTAAAGAGTGGATCTAGAAAATTTACAAAGAAAGGGTCCAATCAGTGATGTCTCAGCTCAGCCTTTTTTCATACTGAAAAAACACCTAAATATTTGCTTAAATGACTCAAGCGTTGGTTACAGAAGAGAAAAAATGAAGACCCCTGGAAATTAAATGGGGTGCACGGCCTGCTGAGTGGCCTCTTTAAACCTTTAAATCTGTCCACAATTTTGCCAAGTCTGGTCGGAATTTGTCATTTATCTTTAACAAAACATCATTCAGAGAAGGACCGCAAATGGGTTACTAGGCATACTTGATTACTATATTGCTAATCCTGACACAGTAGCCCATTAACGCAGTGAGTTTTGCCTCATTCACATTTTTCCATCATGTGCTTAGCTGTACACAAACCCCTTTTCATGTGACTGCATCTGTCCTACAAACAAACTGTTCAGGAGTGTCACCTCAATGTAAAGCTTCCTATGCAACTTCAGTCAAGGAGCCTCTTGGCTCGTCGGTTTGAAGTGCCTCTTCGTACGTTGGAGGGAGATCAAACGAAAGGGTGCTGTAGGGAGGTGGTGACGGTGGTAATTCTTCAACCAAATCATGAATCGCCGTGCTCTCAGTTCGCTCACTAGAATATTCAGGGGGTGGTATAGCCAGCCCTGCTTCGCAAGAGTGACAGTCTTCTAAACTAAACGCGCTATTTTCTATAGCTGTGGAACGTAACTCTGTAGTTCCAGATCTAGAGCGCGGATGATGAGAGGACCGTCGCCTCCCGCGATTACTTCGCCTTCTCGACCGCCGACGTTGTCGATCGGCTCTTTGTCTAGCGTACCTGCTTTCTCGAACAAAACAACAACACAGTATTAAAAGGAAAATTGATCCGGTCAATATAGCAGCGGAAAGGAATCCCGCCTTTGTTAACATGACGTTTGAGGTGCTTTCGCAGTTTCCGTTACTGCAGTGTTCTCCGTCCAAGCATTCCCTTGAATTTCTGCAAGGTAAACGGCGATTTGGTCCCGAAGGTGAAGTTAAGGTTGAAGTTGATGTAAAGCATGCTGTGGAACATCTCATGTCTCGGCAACACAGAGAATAGTTCTGGCGTCTATCATGGCAATCGCCGTCGACAAAACAACGTTTGACAGTTGCGCTAGAGTTCTGAGTCGGCACACAACGAGAATGTTGGCAACTTTCTCCTTTATGACACGTTTTGTCTGTCAAACACCAACAATTACTTTCCGCACGGCAGTCTGTCACACAGCAAATCTTCCCTTCCGTACAAGTTTTTGAACATTTCGAGCAAGAAATTTCCACGAAAAAACTAACAGAAAGAACCAGTATCAAATTAAGTCCATAAAGTTTCTTCTTCGCCATTGACAGTTAAAAAAAGAATCTTCTGCAAATCAGCACAATAGATGGAGCAAAAAAATTTCAGCCACGCGAGGGTTCAAATTTCATCTTGTTTACCTGAAATTGATCTTTGGCTTTCTTCCACAGTGGAGATAGCATGACTAGATCGGTGCACGCTCACGAAAATAGACGGAAAGCAGGCGTTTGTTATGAATATCAACAGATTTTGCTTTGGTGTAACGCGAGCCTTGTTTTTACGAAAAAACAATGCTGATTATGGACGTTTTCTGAAATAAACGTCACGGCTCGGAAATGGCACGCGATCGCAATTACCAGTTTCCCAGGGAGTCTGTGAGCTGAATTAAGTATGAAAATGAGGTAAATCGGAGTTAAAAAAAACGAAGATAGTTCATCTATAACTGTTAAAACGATTAATTTTACGACATTTTTTAAATTGCCTAGTCATAGAGACTCTGACCTCAGTCATGGACTTTGCACCACCCATGTTTTTGTGTTTCATCGTTGCGTGACCGTACAGTTTGCTAACAGCAGTCATGGTTAATAAGTCTACCTTTATAATTTATTGTAATTTACCACCACCAGGTGAGCGGGTAATATAATTTTTGTAGCATGAGGCCCTGAAATCACGCTCCATGTAACAAAAATACTGCCTTTTATTTTCTCTCTTCTCTCTGTATAAAAATCTAAGTAAAACAAGACCTTGCCGGCATCGGGCAGGTCACGCTCAACAATTATTCCATTCATTCTGAAGAAGGCAGTCTGCAAGCAGACTGTTGCATAACATCCATCGATGAAACATCAGTTTATTCCTAAGGCATTTAAGTTTGAATAGTCTAATGTAAACAACTGCAAACTAAAATGCGTTTAAAAACTATAAATATATATACATTTCTCCCTGGCGCTTGGGCTGAAACCCATAAAATGCGTCATTTTATCTTGGTGTTTCATTGTTTTCCTCATGTCCGTCTAAGTGTCTCTCAAATTTCATTGAACTACACGATGGAGGAAAAAGTGGTTGCTGAGTAGCTGTAATTCCCTCTATCTCAATAACAGCCGCACTATTACAAGCTGCCGTTGCAGTGTTAATTTCCGCTCGATGAGATGCTCCATTTGTCTTTGCACCCTCTGTATTGACTACCCTTCGACCGCCTCGAGGCAAGAGTAATTGCCGCTTGACTTTCCTTTCCCGCAAGAAATATAGAATTGAAATAATTGTCGCTACTACTCCAAAAACGATTATAGTTATGATAAGTCCCCTGTTTCCCTTTCGTTTTCCTGTAGATTCGAGATTGTCGACGAGAACACATTTTCCTTCTTGACAGGCTTCACTTCCTACGCAATTACCATCCGAAACACAGTTCTGGTTGTTCTTGTTGTTGTAACTATTCGATACATAAGGAGGTGTATACGGTTTTTCAGTGGAGACGATGTCAGTAAGAGAGTAAAATGTAGTCTTGGTGGGCTGTGTTGGTCGACCACAAAGCGAATCTATACATTCCTCGCCACCAGAACAATCCGCGTCTTCCGAACACAGTCGTGGGCACTGAACATCCCAAAAGCAATATCCTGAGCAACATATGCCATTCACGCATTGTGAATTATCGCGGCAGGCCACACAGATACCGCAAAAGATCAACACTAGACCAAGCAAGAGCGACCAAGCGTTCATTTCTAACCAGACAGGTCTTTTGGGATCGAAAACAAATCTAGAACTGATAAACAGTGATTGAATTCCCAATTCCCTAAATTCCCAGAAAACTAACAGTGCAGTCAGATTCTCGGAAACACAGGAAGTGAATGTTAACTGCAGTTCAACGTCACCGGAAGCAACTCTTGAACTTAAAGTTTTCCTTGCTGTCCAGTGGTTTCTCCAAACAGTTAATTTTAAATATGATTTAAACAGAAAGGCGATAAGGAGAGAGGGAATGATCAATGCCAAATTCTTAAAACTGGGTATATGAGAATGTATCGCAGACGGTGTGAAGTGGATTTAGATCTTACGATTGATCTCGAGTTGAGTTGAGGCAAAAAAAGTTTCCAAGAAAATAACGAGGTGTTTCCTGAAGGGATTAATCTCTTCCAAGCCAGTGCCGCGCTAAAGCAAAACTAGGTTGAGGTGCAGAGGCCCGAAACCAGACTAGTCAGCAATGATAAATAGCGACGCAGAGAACAAGAGCACAGTTGGTAAGGTCTTAAAATGCATGTGAACCCCTTTGTCAGAAATAAACGTTAATAAATTGAAAGACAAAGTATGGACCCGCCCCCGCCCCCCCCCCCCCCCCGAGAGAACCATTTACCATGTCACAAAGGGTTCAACGTCTATAGAAAATACATTTTTCACAGCCTCCATAACTCGAAAGGTTCTTAACTTTGGGTGTGTTTTTGTTAAATTAACGCACATAATTTTCCCACGTATCTCCGCATGGTATGCGGTAAAGGGAAAAAATTTAGTTATCGATCAATCAATCAATCAATCAATCAATCAATCGGGAAATCAAAATTTTTCTTAAGACGGGCAAAACAGGATTGTGTCAGATTGGCAATTGGTAAATAGTGATTTGATTGTATTAAAGAGTGATCTTGTATTAAAAATTATCTCTTGACTGGCAGAAGGGAGGGGACCAATCCTACCGTGAAACTGTGCCATAAAATAGAACGGGACCGTCCCTAGTCTGCCACTACATTCGAATTCACCAGGAATTCAAACGGCAAAGGAAAAGAAAATTATTAACAACAAAGAAATTATTAAGGTTGTCCAAAGCTTTAAAAGTACTGAATAATTCATCGTTCTCCATCACCATGTCTATTTCCGTGACAGAACTGAACACTAATGAAATTATTAACTCGTTTATATCGGAATCTTCGCTGATATTTCACACCCTGGTGTACCGCACATCCGGGCATGAGTACTTAGATTACCTTAATCTAGTTCTTGTCAAACCATGTTTTTGAAAGGAAAGTTGATGCTTTTCCCTTAAGCCAAGAGATATGTTGTTTACACGTTTACAGTGGATCAGGTCTGTTGCTTGCTTACAGTCTCTGATATTTTTGATATCATTAAGCGCCTTCGAACATTAGACTACTGGCGCTAAATAAATAACTCCCTTTTCTGTCTTAAATCGGCAGATGCTACTTAACTCCAGACAAACATAGAAGGCAGCACAATATCTTAAATACTGGCAAGTTCACACTGCATATTTAACTAGTAAGGTTACAACGAAGAAAGACCGCAACAATCGGTTTCAAGTGATGCACTATATGTCACAGGCTGTTCTATGGCAACAACTTAAACCGCAACTGGAGGCACAAAAGTTGTCAACGGTTTGTACACTAAGGCACGACGAAGAAATATTGCACATTACTCCGACTTGTCAGTTTTTTGTCTTCCCCTTGTCACTCTTCCATCCTTAAGTAGCTGTTACATTAACTGTAACGATTCTTCATTACGTCTTCATAAGACGGCGGAGCCTGCGATGGGAGTTTCCCATCACTTGACATGTCATAAGGGGGGAGGGGTGGTGCACGTGGTAGAGGGTAGTGGGGTTGTAGCGAATGTATCACGGATGGCATTTCTGTTGACTGCTCGTGATGATCTTGAGCCCCTTCGTTCATTCTAGTTCGAATCAACCGGATCTTATGGTTTGCGAAGCACACACCAATCACCAAAAGTATTACAACGACTGCTGGAATAATAAAAGGCAACAGAGAAACGACCAGAGTTCGTGTATTTCCCGATTTTGGCACATCTGTGTCGTCATTTTCTTTTCTCATTTCCTTGCACTTTCCATCGACGCAAATTTCCGTCACTGGATCGCATTCATAACTGTGATGACATTGCTTAGGTGGCAAGGTGTCCGTTGTGCACTTGTTACTGAAGCAGTTTTCTTGCTTTGAAATGTCGCAGTCATCATTTTTAAAGCAGTTGTTCCCACAATATTTCCTGAGGGAGCATTTATCAAAGCAACACTTCCTTCCCCCAGAAAGATAACAGTCATTGTCTTCAGAGCATGGAGTAGCGATAGAAATCGAGGCTCTAGATGCGACGACGACTATGAAAAATTTGATAAAAGCAGCCGAAGACATGAAAATCAAGGAAACTTCCTAAATTCTGAGAATTTAATATATCGTGACCGATATCGCTCCCGGTATGCAGCGCTCCTCCAGCACGCGGCAGTACATAAACTCTTATGAATTCGTATTCGTTCGTTGTATGTTAATGATATTGTCACTAAATGCTAATAAGAAGAACAATTAGCAACGCTTGAGAACATTTATTCAATCAACCAATGCTGCAAAGGGTAATGATTTTCGTCGGGCGGTAGGGACGTGACTGAAAAGCCGGCGAAAGGACATTAACTACTGAAGTCAGCGCTAGACTGAAAGTTCCCTTTATCAAAAGATCAGATACCGTGAACATACGTGTGGCTCTATAAGAACATCCTCAACTGATACACTGATGTTTACGCTAACATGTTCAGCCGTTTTCGGGGAATAGAGGAGCGAGGGGGGAAGGTTGGAGATCATCATTTGTTCTGTGGATCCGCCTGACTGCGAGGTGACCGTGAGGGTGGGGGAGAGGACTGGTGGATTTGAAATATTTCATACTCATGACCCTGATCTTGACTGTAATTTTAAAACTGTAATACCATTTTCTTCTTTTCTTTTCTTTCCTTCTTTTTTTTTCTTTCTTTTTTTTTTTTTTTTTTTTACCCACAACCCGCACCCGCCATCAACGACCTCTACCGACGACTCACGACATTAAACTACACTTGCCTCTGTTGACAACTGAATATTTTTTTATTTAGTTACTTGTTTTCACACTAATTTGCCAACAGAGACACTTTACTTTTGAAAGAGAGACAAAGATAATTCATATTTTTAAAATTTAATTCATAAATGGCATCGCGAATTTGCATATGCTTACAATTATGAGGTATGAACACTTTCAAAGAAAATGTGATAACCTCGGGTTTGCAAACCTGCTATGATCTTTGATGATACTGGCTTGGTAGCTTTTCTGTTTGAGTCAGTATGTATGACTGAAAATCAAGTGTTCTTTATTTTCTTCTCAGTATTGAGGGTCCCCAGTAGGTTTTTAGGGATCCGGGATTGGGCTTATTTATAGGCCGGGATCCGGGAGGGAGCGAAAAGCGGGATTGTTTCAGATCACGGTAATCAACGATTTCGAGGGGCGGGATTTGGAAAATAATTTCTTAAACGAACCGAGAACCGGGAAGTCCGTTGACGAGAAATTATACAGAAATTGATCAACGACAAAGTCCGAAAAAGCCTAGCCTCACACGCAGGCGTTTTTAGGGGATCGCGATTCCCTTCTCCCCACCAAACGCAGAAATGAAAAGCGATCCCCCTAAAACGCCTTCGTGGAAGGCTTAAAAAAGCTGCACAAAGGTTATTAGGACAGAGTTAGCTGGGCACATGCCAGGCACACGGCCTTTGCCCTACGCTGCTGTTTTCATTGCGACCCCTCGGTGATATCTGGACGTTCTGAGCCTTGGCCTGTCCTGTAATGGTGACCTTTGATTTCTTGCTGACCGAGCAATTCACCTCTGTTAGAGAGAAATTCAGCCGGGTGAAGCAGTCAGCCTCGAACGCTCTGAAATCGAGGGGAAGCAAGAAAACAGGGGCAACATGAAGAAGAGGAAGATGAGATATTAGAGTACGATTCCCCAAGCAGTGATGAAGAATCGGATCAGTCATTTCCGGAAGTCGAGACCGCACGTGATGATGGTGACATTCCATCTTAGGAACGTGAGGCTGATTTTTTCCTCGGAAGAGTTTCCCGCTTCGGAAGAACCCTTCAACAGCAGAATTGGGTTCAGTTAATTGTTCTATACTTGCTTTGTTATGGAGCTATGTGATTGCCTCCACCTTTTGTAGCTTTATGCATAGCATTCCCTCGTTCCCGTACTTTGCTGGATGAAGGTTATGCGTTCACCTTTAGCCCCCACTAAAAAATATGCTGCGTAGGCCCTGAGGAGGTACGTCATTCGTGCAGATCTTTGAAAACTTTTAAAATTTAACGATTTCATCGTTTTGGTGAAAAAAGATAAACTTACGCCTCACGGTGACCAAAGACTTCAACAGATCATTGCTGGTTGAGGAATTCTTCTCCCACCGAAAGGCCTTGTCTGGCTTAGTCAATCCCCTGGGATTGCGAACTGACCTTTAATCCCGTAATCCCCGGGATAGCGGGATTAAAGGACCCTATTGGGGCCATGGGACCCTCGCTATCATTTAGTGACGAACTTTTCGGCGAATTCGTTTTTGCGACGTTGAGCTGAATTTTCCAAGTCATGGCTCACAACTGTCTTTGGCCTTTTTGCTCCCCAAATCTGTTGTACATGGTATGTAGGCATGTGTCTTAACAACGGTTATAGTCTCGCCTCAATCATCTCCGGTTTTATCTTATTTTGTTTCTGTGTTTTGGTGATAATTTTTCTTATTGCCTCTTTGGGCTTGAAGTGCTAACTAAAGGATAAACTTCGGTGGAACTTATTTCTGACAAGGCCCCCAAATCCCTCACCTCTGTCAGTTCATTGTTTATTTATTTAGCCTTCGGTCTAACCAGTTCATTTACCTCAAAAAATGCGTGAGCTTTGTCTCATGAGTTTAAACTGGCGCCGTTTTCTTCATGTTCATGTGGTATTCGAAACGAATGGCGCCAGCTTCATTCTGTCTTGTTTATTTCAGCAGAATACTTCTGCCATACGAAATGGATTTTGAGTCGAATTGTACTATGAAACTCGCACATTAAAATTATCAAACTTTCTCTGGTTCTTAAAATATCGTTATGAGACGAGTGATATAACAAATGGATAATTACTCAAGGGGCTGGAACTCCTTGTTTCATTAGAATGTTAACTACAGTATTTCTGTCGTATTTAAAAGCGAATTTCAGGTTAAAATGTGTTCAAACTAATTTGACTTGCATTTCACTTTGCCAAAATGTCTTTATCCTTTAATTTTTATTTCCTAATTGAGACTGATGATAGGAATTAACTTTTATGTTCTCTGTTGTTTAGGGAGATGTGAAGTGACCCCACTACAAATAGTTGGTACTATGGACAGAATGGATTGGTGTGACATTTACTATGGCAAGCTGGTATCCAAGAGAATGTCATTAGTACCTGAAGCTTACTACTGGTATAAATTATCAATTTTTTGTTCTCTTCAAGCAACTTGCCTCAACTAGCTTATGCTATATCAACTTGTGTCTATACTTTTTTTGCAACTATAAAATTACCCATAAAAGTTTTGAAAGTTTTGTCCAAATTTCAATGGAAAAGAATATGAGGAGTGATCAAGTGAAATATTGTCATTATTGTCAAGAGTGTTTGAGCTTCCAGTGAGAGCTTAAGTGACTGATGTATGATTTGTTTGCCTTAAAATTGGCACAGCCAAACTCCTGGCTAGAAAACTATAAATTTCCTCAAATAGGCATCCAAGCTGATGCCCATTATTGCAGAATGTACAATGTCAAAGTCCCCTTTTGAGTTAAGTCTCATTTCTCTAAAATCTGATAGATGTTAAATCATCCATTTTCATAAAGAGATCAACAAACCTCTCCACATTAGTTTAATCTGACCTCATTTAGTCTTGCTCCCAGGAAAAAAAAAAGAGGCTTTTGCAGAGCATGGAATTATGCCTAATACAGGTGCCAATGTGACTAGATTTTTCACTTTGGTGACCAAATCCTGAAAATTAGTTGCCAAATTGGCAACTAGAATGTTTCATCATAACCTTACCTAGAGATATAGTGAATAAAAAAGATTTTCAAAAAAAATCCACGTCAAACTTCCTCGCTAATGTTGTTTCCAAACCTTGGATTTAGGTGAGTTTGAATGTTGCATACCATCCATCCTAGTGCTCACTTTGAAGCACATAAAAGATCTTTTCCCTAACTTAATTTCTAGAACAATGACAGCATAAAAAAAGGTTATTTTTGTCTTTGGAAATGGCAAACAGCTTTATTTTAGTTGGCTACCACTTTGAAGAATGAAGGAGCCAAGTGGCTATCAGAAAAAAAGTTAAATTTCACGCCCTGTTTTGGAAATATTTTGTTTTTTATCCTCACTGTTAAATTTTAGCCCTACTGGTTCTTTGTTGTTTGGCATGTAATAAGAGTTTTTTCAGACCATCAAATTGTCACCTAATTCTTGTAATTTAAGGGGTTGGAGGATGAGGTTGCAAAAAGTATATACAATTTTGTTGTGCAATTGAAATGATAAATGAATATGATTTTTATTAGGAAATAATTGATTTATTTAACTATTTGTATTACAACTGGAAGCCCAAACTAGTACTTGTTTTAATTCACAATTTCCCCACATCATTGATCATATCTGATGATATTTCCAGGACTAATGATTGAAAAGACTTTTCCTTACTCCGATATAATCCATAATTGTTCCTCCAGTTCTAACAAGCTCTTTGATGTAACGATGGTATCTCTAGTACTGACATTGTCTTACCTTTATTTACTTGACACTTACCCTTTTTGTTTTGGTAATCAGCCCCGCAGGTTGTGATTCATGACAAAAAAAACTTTTGAAACAAAACATTAAATTCTGTAAATTTTAATTTCTGGCTAAAATTGGAAGTACATAGCACTAGCAGTACAAATGCTCACAGGAAAGTGTGTACTTCAAATGATTAACATTAACTTGAGATAGCAATGACACAATAAAAGTAAACTATCCAATTCATTTGATCTCTTCAACAGGCCTCTTGCATCCTTCACAAATAACATCATTTACATTGATGGCCCAAACAATCACAAGACAAGACTCTAAGTTGTTTGTACAATCTTTTGCTTTTTGAAAATAACTTCCTTCCACACACCACACAATAATTTTAAGACTTAGCTGCTTCCATCTAAGTTACAGAGGGGAACAAGAAAGGTTTTCTGAAATACTCCACTGTTCTTTTCGGACATATTTTTCTGCTTCTTTTCTTTCTTGATTACCAATGCAGGCGCATGCTAGCGGTTTCTCACATCAAACTAAAATAATAATTTACAGAATATGCACAACAAAATGCCCCTCTGTTGATCAGAGGTAGGAGAGGTGGAAAAAGAGAGTGGGGCCAAGTGGCTGGGGTAGTAACAGAAGGAGGCTGGAGGGAGACTGGTACCAATTCTACTCTATCAGTCTATACTTTTCTCGGACCCATGTTGCATGTTCCTCCTCAACAGAAACCATTACAAAAATCAGTCTGACCAAATTCTGATCCTGCTGATTTGCATCCTATTTTAACAATCCTAGAAAAACACCAAGTTAACATTAATACTTGCAACTTTGGTTCGATCACTGATGATTCTCTTTTTTCAGAAACCCATCAGTGGCATACACCAATTTTCACCCATTGACCCTAAAAGTAACTGGTAGCTAATTTCTCCTTACAATATCACCCCCTAATCACACATTAAGGTCACCAGATTAAAGGAAATGATCACCAACTGAAGAAGCTCTTGATTGTTAAACAAATTCTCTTTATCAGCATCTTAGGAAATGTCTGGAGGAGAGTATGGAGCATATGCAAACTGGCATTAGGGTGTAAAGGGTGAAACAAAGAAGGACATGGCAGCCACTTGCTAGTCATCTTCAAGGTATAAAAAGCTTTTTGATTAGTAGAGTAATATATATGTAGAAATATTGCATGTCAGACTGGCTGAAAACAATTGCATTTTTCATGTAACACAGGTGCGATGTTGTAACAAGAGTGCAAAGTTGTAACACAGGTGCAAATTAAATGTAGCACACATGCTGTCAAAGTTTTGAACTGTCTTGACTTTCTGTGAAGCCTTTTTTTACTTCTAGTAAGAACAAGAGTTCTAGTACACTTTGGTGCAAATAAACACGTGTAAATTTTCCAAAGACTACAAGTTGCTAATGCCCTATGGGCTCACACAAATTTGCTGTCTTTGAAAATTTTACTTGTGCTTATTTACACCAAATTGTAAGTGAAATGTTATTACCAATACTAATTTATCACCCCTTGGTGACACTGATGTTACATGCATCCTTGAGAACTCCCCCACCTTCACCCTCCCCAAGCTATGTCTTGGATTGTAAAACTAATCTTCCCCTCATGTACATCATTTATGTTTATAGAAGGAATCCACTGTAGGGAATGATGCTGGAGAAGAACTACAAAAATCTGTCAATCAAGTGGAAGATGCCTCTTTCTAGTTATCCAGAGGATAAAAAAGGCAAGTATGGTCTGATCATGGTTAGCAGGGGCATAGCAAGAATATTTTAGAAGAGGATCTTTACCTTAGCAGCTAACTCGGAACCATACCAGGTTATTTTATTGCTAATGTCCGTCTCATTTTATTCACTCTTTGACCCTTAGTGACTAGAATCTAATTTCTCCTTACAAGCCACCCCTGCATCACTCATTAAGGTCCCAAGCTTAAAAGAAATGATCACCAGCCAAAGATACTCCTGATTGTTCAAAAAATTCTCCTTGTCAGTGCCCTAGGAAATGTATTGATAACAGTAGAGAGAATAGGTATACTGATGGTTAGAGTGTAAAGGGTTAAACAAAGAGAAAGGCTCCATAAGGAGCTTTTTTCAAAGTCCCAATTTGGCAACCATACATCATAACATGTTCACCGGATGTAAAATTTTTGGCCACCACAAAAAAGGTTCACAGGGCAACTCAAGGTTTAGTACAAGGATAACCTAATAGAAATAGGCAAATCTTTGTAACCAAAACGGAAAAAGGATCAGTATGGGTTGTAACTTTCAACCATAAAAATACAGTAATTAAAACATTACAGATTGCTACCCAACCACCAGATGCTGGCTGCCACATAGGCAACATTGCCCACAGATCAAGTATAGAGGCCAAAATGTTTTCTTCTCACCATTGGTACCCAAGTGGACATAGCTCGGAGAGCTAAAGAAAAGTATTGCCAGCAGACCATGACCTCCTTATTCAACCCTTAAATGGATAGATATATGCAAAGCTGTTTACTCTGCAGTCTAATATCTTAAAGATGACAAGACATTGAAAATCTGTTCTGTAACTGCAAGTTTATTATAAAAAATATTTATATTCGTATTTTTCCATAGTTTTCCTTTGCTTCTTTTTCTCTTTTTGAGACTTAAATTGTTAAGGGTAACATGAATAAAATAACTTTTGCCATTAACTGACAAAATTTACATGGAAGTGGACACAGCTTCCTCCTTAAAGATGTATGTGACACAAAGTCTGAATACCACATACATTGCAAGATGTCTCAATAACAATACAGTTGTACCTTTAACATAACAATGCTTAGGGTTAAGTGACCAAGGCTGTTTGTGAAATGCCTCCATTGCAGTAACTTCTAGCTAGAATAACTTGGCCTCATGGAAAGCCATGGCTTTCATCTGGTAGACTTGTCATACAAGTCTCAACATTATCACAGAAAAATACACATCTCTTCAATTTTTTAGTGCAAACACTAAATTTTAAGAACAAAAAAATAATTTTCTTTGCAAATAGCTGCTGATATACTTTTTATGGAACAGTACCAGCTCAGTTGCTATAAGTATCAGCATTACAAATTCTGTATAATGAAAAACAAAGCTGCCCTAATTGACTGTTGCTCCATTTTCAAATAAGTTTTAAAATCTAAATGAAGAATTGCTAGGCACTTTGATTTCTTTATGACTAAAGGCTTCAATGTAAAAGATAAATAATCCTACACATTTTCAAAGGCTTTTTGGTAACATCAAACAACCCCTAAGGTAAGCAATTGATTAAAGTGACAATGGAAAATGGTGTGATGATCCAATAAACCCAGATTAATTGAAATTTAAGGTTATCAGTTGTGGATGTCCACTGATAAAAACTGATACTCAGACTAAAGCCTGGGCCTAAAAGTTACCCATTTTATCATTGACGCCTGGATAGTTTCATGGCTAAAACTTAATTAACGATCAGGTTTTTTTAGACAAGCTATAAGAACTCTTACTAGAAATTGCTTTTTTCCTGTCTTCCAAACCTTCGTTTACTAAACTAAGAAGAACTTCCAATTCTGTGATTTCTCTAGTTCACCCAAAATTGTGAGATCTCAGTTGCTTACTTCCTTTAAATAAAAAGCTGTTGTGCAATGGTTCTAGAACCCACTCATGTTTCCCAGTCAATCCGCGTGATTCACCCATGTACTAAACTAAATTCTGCATGACTCATCCTGTCTTGCAATCAAAGTTGTCCCAACAAAAAGCTACTCTTCAGAAAGAGAGCTTTAACTAGAACACTACTTTGTAGTGATATCACATGCTCAAATGTAGGCCTTAAAAACTACTGTACAGCTAAGCTGCACAGAACTATAAACATTCAGTCCTGGGGAGACTAACTATCCAGCGAGGATTAGACATATATAGGAGTGTCGAGCCCCCAAACCCACCTCCGTATACCCTAGCACAACTAAAGCTTTTAACCATGAACATAATTACTACTTTGTGTAACTTGATTCACATACTACTTTGATTTGCTGTTCATTTCATCTTCAAACATCACCGGATAAGCCCTTGGTCACACCAAAGGCATCGAAGAATTCCTGACAGCCTCTTCGTAACTTGGTGGAGGTGGTAATTCAGGCTCGTTTACATGATTTCCTTGACTCTGTAATTCCAGTGAACTGTAAGGCGGCGGTCCATCGGCTGGTAAAGGGGGAGGGGGAGGAGGAGGAGGAGGATAAGAGTTTTCTTCGAAATCAATCACAGTGTTATTGTGAGAAAAAGCACTCCCTGAGTGCATTTCTACTTGCGTGGCTTCGTTTACGGAGGGTCCTGATGTCGTCTGTGCATTTCGCGTCACTGGTGCGCGATTAGGTGGTTTGCGAGCTCGTTTGCACATGTGGTACAAACATGAAAGAACTGCACTAACAGCGACGAAGAAAATTATTCCAATCGTTCTGCTTCCGGACCAAAAGCTCCCACTAGAACTACCAGTGCTATAGTTTCTCTCACAACGGTTTTCATAGCTGCAGTGATGATTTAAAGGACAGTCACTATTCCAAGTGCATTCGTCTGTTGACGGCGGATTCCAGGTTGAAAAAGGGGGTAAAGTAATGGTAGAACGTTTGCAAGAGCCAGAGTCACATGTTTGAGATGTAAATGGACAATCACTATCAACTCTGCATTCGGGGCAGTAGAGAAATTTGTCAACACAGTCGCCCAAACAGCATTTCTGACTGCTCTTACAATCCCAATCGATATGACATCTTTGTGAACTAACGTTGGAAGTAGAGCAGATTAAAGTCAACCCAAGCGAAATCAACCAAATATACATGAACACGAAGCGTCCCCTACAATGGCGCAACGGGAAAGTCGTTTTCGAGTGACAAACAATGAACGAAGTGAGTTGTGTCTCGATAGAAATTGCCTTGTAATCTCTCCACGATTACGTCACTGTTGCCATAGAAACACAAGTAAGATTAGAATATGATGTAATGTCTTTTTCAAGGAGTTGAAATGCGTTCGAACTTAACATCGTGGAATGAATCTGGGTGAAAATCGAGTGATCTTATCAAATTTTAAACCTATTTACTGTTATAAAAAATTCACCTATTAGTCTGAGAACAAATTTTACAGACTTCGTAATAAATAGCGTGGGTTGAGGGGGTTTGTGAATGTAACGCAATTTCTGTGAACACGCGAATTCTTGCCAAAAAGCCCTGTTTAAAAATTTTTATTTTGATTGTCAAGGACAAAGTTGGTTTTGGAAGGGAACAATGAAATTAAGTCACGACACCAATTCTGATTGAATGATTTATATATACTTCTCTTACAGTCTACAGAGTTACGTACAGTATGTCGCCCTGAAGTGATCACGTGCTGATTTAGCTCTAATCCTTCCCAACTAAAAGTTAAGTAAATAGACTTTTTCCGTCTACTTTGTATAACAGTATATTTAAATTGCGCCGTCTTTGTGGGTTCATCATCTTTGCCATAACAGGATCAGACGAAAAATATTCGTTATTTGTAACAATCGATCTGGTGGCTTCAGTCGTTTCGATTCAAACATCAACAACTGAAAATTTGACCACGCAATATTGGAAAAAAATAGCTCTTTTATGGTCAAGTTCTAGCTCAGGAAGTGTAACAGCTACATCTTAATTAATAAAAGCAACGATTTCGTGAAACTCCACGCAGCCGAATTTAGATCAACAGCAAACTGATCGGCCATCATCGCTAAAGATCGCAATTCTTGACAGCCTCGTCGTAAGTCGGTGGAGGTTGTTCTGTATCATTGCTGTCATCACGTTGTTGCTGGAATTCTAGAGAACTGTACGGTGGTGGTGCATCCGGCGGCAAAGGAAGAGAAGTTTGTTCCAAGTCGATCACAAAACCCCCATTCGAAACCCCGGCTCCGGCTATTTGCATATCAACTTCGGTCACAGTAGTTGGCGCTGTTGCCACACTTTCCCGGCTTTCCAAAGTTGTTCGCCAGGCATTTCGCGTCGCGAGTACCCGATCACGAGTCCGTTTTTTATCTCTCTTGTAAAGGCAATAAATGATGAATATCACCAATACCACCGATACAAAAACGATTATTACTGTTCCAATCAGTTTAGTTCCTATTAATGGAGGTCTTGAAGTGGTAGATACACACTTCCCGTCCTCACACACATGGCCTTCTAGACAGCGGGCATTTTCGCCGTTGCAGTAGTAGTTATTCGAGTCTGACTCATAACAGAGGCCATCTACTCCACATTTCTTCCCGGACGAACAATCCTGATCCCCAGAGCATCTCTCGCAAAACTTTTTTAACTTACAGAAACCCAACGAACAGCAAACGTCTCCATGACCGTAGTGGGAACAATCCCAATCGTGATAACATCTCTCTGAGCTTCGAACACTATAGGCGAAGGAGATAAAAATCAGCCCGAGCGAAACCAACCAAATATGCATCAACTTGTTGGCGTATTCGTAAAACAACAAACTTAAAGTATAGAAAGAGTTCCTAACCGTTAAGATTAAACTTGAAATTAACTTTATAGCTTACCAATGCGTCACGATTGCCAAGGAAACACTGCCAAAATTGGAAAATAGGGTAATGTTATTTCCCGTTTTTCCTTTGTGCAGCCAATATGATGTAAATATTTTGTCGCCCTATGAATCGTATACGTGTTTCAAACGAGTATTCGATTAACAGGGAACCATATTCAATATGGTTTCCTGATCACTGAATTGTTTTTATGAGAAAACACTCATAAAAACAATTCAGTGATCATCGAAACAAACGTTAGTCAGTGACCAAAACACTCACGAGGCTTAAATTGCAGTTTGCTAAACATTGTGACCATTAGCACACTCATTTTTTTCAGTTAGCTTTCTGTGTTA